CGAGACACCCGCTTCATTATGGTCCCGGAAATGTCTGGCCACGACTGGGAAGGGACAAGAGTGGAGATTGGATAGAGCCGGCACTGGAAAGTTGATGATATCATGGGAAAGTTTTCTCCCAGGATTGCTGGCTGTTGTTGCGTCGTTATCAGCAAAATGTTCCAAAACTAGTTACTTTTGTGGGAGGTTTTGGCTAGTGAACACGACGATTTCAACATAGTCGCGCTGAGCTGAATTGTCTGTAGTGGCAAATGGAATCTATCGAGCGTGGCTTTCTCTCCCTCTCCCCTCTCACTCTCCCTTCTCTATCCGGCGCAATGTCCCTACCTGTCTCTGAGCCGGCGGTCACGTTGCAGCCCGTACGTTCCGTGGTCCTGTGTCGCGGCTGTCACCTGCACCCGTCTGCCGGTGGCATGGCCGCTGGCCGCTCCCAATGGCTCCCGGAAGGCAGATAGGCTGACTATACAGGCAGCCATGCTCGCACAGATACACAGCCGGCTGCCGCCGGTCGCCGAGCGGCCGGCTCCAGTGTCTGCAGAGACAGACAGACAGACAGACAGACGGAAGGACGGACGGAGGATCTGAGGTGGGGTCGTGCAAACACGGGGGAGAGCACGCGTCCGGTCGGTGACAACAGCGGCCGACGGGATGGGCGGTGCGTGAGAGGGGCGTGACGGGGACCTGATGGTGGGGTGGGTCAGCTACTGATGCAGGGTGAGACACAGTGGCTGATCTGAGGTGGAGACATGTCACTCGCGGACGGGCTATGCGAGTGGGATTTGGGGACAGCGATAGGTCATCCATAGAAAGCACAGTACGGATGACCTGAGGTATGAGTACTGATGTAAAACAGGATAGTCATATGGCATATTCAACCACTTTCTGTTTGGTCGGTCGACATAAACTCTATATGTCGTCCTAGATGTGATCTCTGATTGGGTAAAACATCATGACCTTTCGAGCTCTATGTCCAGACTCGCGGCCAATTCCTGCCGCAGCCGCCTGTCGGCCGAGGCTGGCCGTGTTAGCTGCCGCAGCCGTCTGGCACGGACGGCACACAATGGCGGCGGTGACGTCACTGACCCTGGTGATGACGTCATTATGTGGCAGGCTGCCCGGGGCCAATGTCACCGCCCCGAGCGCGTCTGGCAGAGGTGGTGGTGGCAGCGGGGTGTGGATGCGCGGCCCTGGAGGCGGGGCGTAGCGAGATGAATCCTTGGGTGGATGGGTTAGCTCGGATTGACATCAGCGACTGACACTGTTTTATCCAAGGCTATAGAACTCCGTTTTATCATTCACCGTGTTATCGCCTACGAGTTGGGACTGGGTGTATAGTCTCTCTTGAAAGTATCGCGTCCTGGGCTGCGGCGGCTCAGCGAACTATTCCATTCAGTTTGAGGACCCCAGTAGGGAGGTCATGGCCTGTATCATAAAAAGTACGCTGTAACACGATTTCACGCCAGCGGTAGAAGGAAAACTACTATATGACGCAGGCCCCATCGGCTGACAACTGGGTCAAAACAGGCGGAGGCCGGCCAAAGGTCATGCTCGTATCGCTCTCCCTTGACCCCGTCCACCGCCCCAGGCGGATACCGGTGCCTCTTGGGCTCACCAGCCGGGCGCTCATTGGTGTGCCTTACTGGGCGCCAATCACTCAGTGTGCGTGACGCGTAAAATCACAACGAAGCGAAGTTCCGCCATAACCCTTACTGTGATGAGGCCTTGTGAATGACGTTAACAGGTCATGCGGGGGGGGGGGGAAGCCTGGCATAAAATAAGTTTTTAAAAAGAACATGGCTGAACAGCATTTCTTCTCTTTTTTGTCGCCGTTCACTAGCCGGCTCATTAAAAAGAGAGAACTTCAAATATAGGACTAAATGGCTAGTCAGCGAATTGGCGAACTGGCTAGAGAGATAATTTTTGTTTTTGAATCCGCTTACGAGTGCACGTGCAAGCACGGATGCATTCTGTTTGCGGGTGCAACTGATGATTGTTTGGGTATATGGGCACGGGTTTCAGGATTTTACCCCCCCCCCCCAAAAAAAATGTGACAGTCGTGCCGATGACGAGTCAAATTGCTAACTTTGCAATGAAACAAATCTCAACAAATCCTCTGCGAGCAGGGTGGCTTTCGTTGATCACATGCTTAGCTGCCATCACAAGTTACCGGATGGCGACTGCCACCTCCCCCTATCCCTCCGCAATAGTGGTCGGCCAGCGCCAGCTGACGGCGCCTGGCCGCAAAAACGGCGTATGCCGCCCGTGCGAATCGTAACGGAACGGCCACCGCCGCCGCCGCGCCGCCGGTGTCGCCGCTGCTCCGGGGTTATAGTTCAGTGCGATAGTGCGCCGGCAGCGGCCGGCCGATTGGCCGGGGCGTGGTGGTGACTGTGGCGCAGTGGTGCGACGGTGGTGAGCGGGACGGGAGCTGTGACGGTGGTGCAGTGGAGGTGCGCTGGTGACGGTGTGGTGACGCTGTGGGATGTGCGGCACTGTCTCGGTGTGACAGAGCGCTGTGACGGAGCGCTGTGACGGTGTGACGGTACCTGTGACCGGGTGTGACCCACCCCGCCGCCACGGGTCCGGCGCAGACGAGCGGCGGTGAGCCGACGCGGCGCGGCGCGATGCCGGCCGTGGTGAGCGTCGGCCCGCCGTCGCACCGGTCGGGCCGGCCGCCGCTCTACGGCACCGGGGCCGCGGCCGTGCCGCGCTCCGCCAGTGACGGAAGCGTGGCTCAAATCAAGGTAAGCAGCAGCGGCGCGGACCGACGACCGGCCGCCGCTGGAGGTCGGCCCGTATAAGGACGCCGGCCGAGCGGACCGGACCGGCCGCCCCTGAGTCAGCCGGCGCACCGACGGGCCTTTGTTCAGCGTGGGCAGGCTGCGTGCCGCCGCCACCGACATGGACGGCTGGCGGCACTGATGACGCCGCGGTGGCGGTGGCGGCGGCGGCGGCCCCGTCCGGGCGCGACTCACCGGTCGTAGACCGCACCGATACGGTACCTTTGCGGCGCGCGGCGGTCCGCTGACGGCGCCGAGTCGGCGAGTCGGCGGCGGCCTCCGCTGGAACGATGGCGTAATGCCGAGATCGCAAACGCAGATAGACGCAGAGTGGATACATCGGACTTCGCATTAGCAGCGGAAGGATATGCCATCTCTGGTAGTCTCTCCGCTATACCTCGGCTGGCGTTCCCTGCTCGAGGCTAGACCGCTGAGTGAGAGCTGGCGGAACTGTTTATCCGTCTCTGAACGGGCTTGTGACCGTGCCCAGAGCTGCGGGGTCACGGCCGGGCCGAGGGGGCGGCGCCGCGCGACCACGGCGTGCGGCCGGAAGACGCGACTTGGTCAGGTGTCGGCCGTCGCCGCCTCGGCTCCGCGGCGCCACGGTCGCCGGCTGGCCAAGGTCAGCGGCCGGCCACGGCCACGGAGCCGGCCGCTGCGGCAGCTCGGCCGCCGAGCGGAGCGCCGCGCAGCGCGGTCACCCGCCGAACGGTGGATCTCATCTAACAACGACGGGCCGCCCGCGCAGTGTGGTAATGGTTCGGTTGCGTACGGCTGTCGCGGCCTGGCTGTCCCGCTCGGCTGTCGCGCTCGACTGTCCCTCTCTGGCTGTCCCATTCTGGCTGTTCCGTTCGGACTATCCCACTCTGGTCAACACCGTTACGGTCAGGGAGTCGTCAGCCGGCTCGGCGACCCGCCGCTGCACCACTGTTCGCTGCCCTGTGTCCCAACTCTGGCCTGTGTCCCCGTCTCCAAACCTCCCTGTCTTTGTGTCGATCTCGAGACACCACTGATTGCGATTCGCACGAACACTCAGAGGACCGGACGTCGAGCGGGCCCTGCGGCACGTGTCTCAGTTCCTGGTACCGGGTCGGCAGGACCGGCACGTGAGCAGCTGGTCCAAGTGGGCGGTCCTCCCGCCCGGCTGTCTCCCCGCCCCCCCCCCCTTCCCGGTCCCCTCTCCGGTCCCCTCTCCCCGGCGCCTGGCGTTGGCCATTGAGAACTAGCGCTCAATGAGCCGCCACCGACCATCCGGGGAGGGGGGAGGGGGAGCGGTGCAGCAGCGAGCTTCGTGGCCGGGCCCATGGGAATCTGGGCGAGCTTGAGTGGTGGGCAGAGTTTGAATGAACTCATTGTGGAGATGGGATGAGCGTCATCAAGCTCAGTAGGATAAGATGAGAATGTAGAAAAACGTTCTGATCGCTGTGGTGCAGTGCAATGAGATGCATGAACGGCTGTAGGAAACTTGTGTTCAGCGGAGATTTTGGCTGAACATTTTAGAGGAGGTCGTGTATTGATGAAATGGGCGGACGGGATAGCTGTACACCGAGACAGCGATCCACTCCAAACTGGACCTGTCATGGCTGAACGGACCGTGTCTGTCAGTCGGCGGGTCGCGGGCTGCCACTCCGGACAGGCTGATGGTGTACCACTGAGACACAGTCGACAGTTGTGCCGCAGTCTGTCGGTAAAGACGGACCCGTTACCCTTCGTCAGTACTTCGGCGGATTCTCCGGCAGTAAAACTGCGGATTTGTCATCATTAAGCCTGGCCGACTGTCAGCACTGAGGCGGCGTATCGCTGAAAGTCGACTGATCTGTCCCCACTTAGCGGCGTCATCGGCCGTTGCCAGCTCGATGCCAGCGCTGAAACGGCAGACTGTCCCGAACTATTGGCTATTGATCAGTTTCCGCCGATACAGCCTTGAACTACGGTCGGTCGTACCGAGACGTTGGCTCACGGCGAGCGGAGGTTCTTTGGTGGACAAAATCGGCGCTGTTGTTATCTGCTATCAATAGATAGTCGCTAAGGGCTCTAGTCATATGCTGTCGATCGATAATCTCAGCGATTGTCACCCAGCGCTCCCCACAGCCTCACGCCCCCTCCCCCTGCCCCGACCCCCGCCTCCGGGCTGTTTATATCTTTGTTCTTTGCCTATGCTCCCTTGTGTACCTGTGTCGTGTGTCTAGTCTCTTACATTTTCGTTTTTTTCCGTTTCAGGAGTCCTCACGGACGAGGCCGGACTCTGAGCCGCACATTGGCAAGTACCAGCTGCTCAAGACCATCGGCAAGGGCAACTTTGCCAAGGTCAAGCTGGCCAAGCACTTGCCGACCGGCGAGGAGGTACGTACCGCGTACTCCCGGGGTGGCCCGGGTCATGCGATATCGAACTGACCTCTGTGACCTGCAGTGGCGAACACAGGGCTCCCGGCAACAGGGTACAATGCCAATTACGGTGCCTCGAGATCCGCGACTTGTGAAACACGCGACATTAATTATAGATTCCGCTGCCATTGAATTAATCACGTCATTAAACGTTTCCTACCTTTAAGTTCTGAATGAACGTAAATGCTTGCAAAACCTGTCCTGTTTATCGTGAGCTATGGACAATTTTGAAACCTCGACTGGTGCTGCCAAATTCAACTTTCGGCACTTGTTTAGACTTGGCTCGGGAGAGCTTCGCTGGCGCGGTGTCGCCATTGACGCCAGGATGGGTGGCTTACTGATTCGCTGATGTGGAGCGACCGCACCTTTCGCGTGCCGTGCCGTGCCTTGTCTTGACGCATAGCACCGTTTCGTGCTGCCAACCAGTGGCCACACCGGTGTGTCGTGCCAGGCTTTTGTTCATGAGTGCCAACTGGCTGTGGTAAGACCTCAGCAGCGATGCCAGGCTTCGCTGGACTGCCCCGCACGGGGTGGTGTATAATTTCACTGACCGAGGTGGCTGGCGATTTGTTCACCACCTGTTGGTGAGTTGAATCGGTCCCGCTGTCGGCTGACCTCGCCTGCCATCACAATGTGGTCACGACAGATGCCTCTGAATGAAACCTGACATAGTGCTGTGCCGGTCGGAGCTATTATCCAGCTTACATCGATCGGAGGAGGTCGACTAAAGCTGCAGGCAACGTCCAAGTCTTTTAGAGGGCTGCTCACGGTTCACAACTCACAGCGGCTAGCTCATTGGACACAGTACTCGTATACAGCTCATCGGACCACAATCCATAGCTCTCAGTACATCATACAGCTCGCATATCGCAGCCTGTTGAAGCACAGCTCACAATTCATAGCTCACTGTCCACCGTACAGCAAACAGTTCACAGTGTGTCGGATCACAATTCACAGCTCACAGCTAATCATACAGAGCACACTTCCCCAGCGTCACACGGCAGGTCATTGCGAATTACGACCAGCAGTGTTCCAATCAGCGTCACGGGATCGGCTGAGAACTCTAACAGCGAGCAGTGACGCCTGGAAGACTGCCGTGACGCCAGCCAGCCGAGCAGGAGCCACATCACGACCACGTCACGGTCACGACACGGTTCGTCACGGTCACCGCGCCGCCAGAGAGCGGCCCCGTTTGCCGCCGCTGTGGCCTGGTTTGGCTGGGAGAGACCGTGCTAGCGTGTCATCCTCGCCCTCCTATGTGTCAGCGACTCCGCGCGGCAGTCTGTCGCTCCGCGCTGCGGCACCTGACCCGTATCTTCTCGGCACGCGTCCTACTTGAGCCCGTGGACTCTGCGGTGCAGAGAATCTACCGACCAAGGCCGCGCGGCATAGCTGATTATTTATCCAGGACGGGCGCCGCACTGTCGTCTCGACACGCTCTCAGGTTGTTTGTTATCGCGTCTATTCGGAAAACATGTGCCACTCGGAAAACATCAGTGCGCTGACGGTGGTTTTTGCGGCGGGTGTTCGGAACTGCGGTGAGCAGCTCCGTGAGCTGCCGTCAGCCAGCGCTCACGCACACGCCCAAGCACGCAACGGTGACTGGGAGGCTGTGAGTGCTGGATGATAGGAACTACCGCCAGCGCCCCTGCTCCACGGAGGGGGCTGGTTTAGTTCTGACTCGATCTATCCCGTTCTCCGCTCTGTTCGGCAGACACCTGGGTATGGTGTCACGGTGCCCCTCTCGACCGCCCCGAGGGTGCTATTGCACCGAGAGCTGACGCAGTGCCGATGTTGATCCGTCCCTGAAGTACACACTAGTCCGTACACAGCCGCCGCCTGACCTCGGCATGCATTGCGCCGCGGACGGCACGGGGCGGGGCGGTTTTCCGAAACTGACTGCGTCACCCGGAGATGCTACCCCCTCCCCCTCCACCGATGACGCACTGACTTCATTCGCTGGAGGGAGGAGATGATCTGTATAGGTTACTCTAGGTCGACTGGAGGCGAGGAATGTTGATGATCCCGTCTTTGGCTCAGATCCTGGTTGGCTCGGAACACTTTCGCACTCTGGGTTGATGCTACATCGTTCAGGCCTTTATCACCACCCTCGGCGTCGGTTTTATTTGAGTACTGGCACGGGGCGTTATGATGTAGCATCCCGGAGACGAGAATACTCTGAAATGTCGGTGATAACATTGCGCTCTATACGAAGTCGGCTTTTTCAAAGCTGACATGGTTGATGATAAGTGTATTTTCAGTTAGAATTTAGAATGAGATGAATCATATCCTGTCAGAAGTATATATTTTGAGAGAAATTCTTGTCTACATTATGTAATTTCTACATTATGCATATAACCCAGCCCCCAGCCGGAAATGGGAAGCGGGCAACGCATTGAGCCGCGGTGTGGGGCCCTGTTCTGTCAGCGTGGCCTCACTCGTCGCCGCTGCCATCACGGCTGAACTCACCCTGGTGTGTCGCCCACCTGTTCCGCCTTGTCTCTCTCAAGCTACGCTGTCGGTTTTCCGTTCTCGCCACCTGCCTCCTATCTGTCTCAGTGCCTGAAGTGTCTTACCACAGGTCTCTATTGTATCGGTCCCTGACCATAAAGATCTGTCTCATTGTCTCACCACCTGCCTCCACTCTTTGTCTCAGTGTCTCAGCACCATTCTTCTTTTTGTATCAGTGTCTCATTCAGTTGTCTTCGCTCTGCACACGTGTCACGTCACCATAGTCTCGTATCTCACCACTGTCTGCTGTGTTTAGCAGTGTCTCACCATTCGTTCTGTCTCAGTCTCACCACCTCAGTATCGTTCCCTCTCCCATGTCTGTCTCGGTGTCTCGCCTCACCTGACTGCCTCCATTCAGTCTTCCTCCGTTCCTCTCCCCACCTGCCTCAACTCTGTCTCTTAGTGTCTCAGCACCATTCTTCGTTTTCTATACCAGTGTCTCATTCATTTTTCCTCGCTCTACAATTGTGTTTCGTCACCTCAGTCTCGTTTCTCACCACTTTCTTCTGTGTGTCTTCATGTCTCACCGCCTGTGTTCGTTCTGTCTGAATACCTTATCAGCTGTATTCGTTCTATATCAGTGTCTCCCCTTCTCAGTCTCGTTCCCTCTCCCATCTCTAGTCTGTCTCGTTGTCTCGCCTCGCCCGACTGCCTCCATTCAGTCTTCCTCCGTTCCTCTCCCCAGCTCCTCTATCCCTCTGCCACCGAGGCGGGCTGCCGATCTCACCTTTCATTTGATGAACGCTCCACCGGAGTCTGATTGGTCTCTCCCGTTCCGTTTCAGGTGGCCATTAAGATAATTGACAAGACGCAGATGAACCCCGGCAGTCTACAAAAGGTGAGAGAGAGGAGAGAGAGAGAGAGAGAGAGAGAGAGAGAGAGAGAGAGAGAGAGAGAGAGAGAGAGAGAGAGAGAGAGAGAGAGAGAGAGAGAGAGAGAGAGAGAGAGAGAGAGAGAGAGAGAGAGAGGGAGCGGAGGGCAGGCAGAGCGGGGCTAGGGATGATATGGTGACAGGAGCGAAAAGGGATAGGAGGCTGGAGCAGGCAGGTGTGATGACTAGTGCTTGGGGTGACACGGGGAGTGGTGGTGAGGGGTCCCGTCCCACACACATTCGGCACGACTGCTGTGAGTAGGCGGCACAGGTGTACCCACCGACCAAATCGATGACTGTGGGACACCAGCACAGGCTGAGTGGGTGAGGGGTGAGGGAACCCGGCCCCAATGACCCGGAGATTACGAACGGTCACACAGTGCTGGAAATACCGGTCCCGGACGCTCCTCAGGTGTAGTGGTGAGTGAGGCGTGGTGACCGGGAGAATAGAAGTGGTGTCGACATGTGTGGGGATCCGGATCTGTACATCCTCCACCGGGCTAAATGGGCCCGCGACTTCTGCCGGACTAACACATTCAGCTAGGCCTGTACACATTCAGCTGCTGTGCTGTTGTCAGCCGAGAAACGCTCACTCTATTGGCTGAAAAAATGATGACGTCATGTTGCACTTGCAACATGACGTCACCTCTCTGCTGACGGCAGCATGGGCTGACGAGCTGTGCTGCTATGAGAAAGCAAGTGCAGAGATGCCGAACCGTCATCAGAAGCCATAAATGACGCATTTAGACACTGGTAGTGGCGCATGTAAACAAATCACGTGCCACATTTTTGCTGAGTACTGCAGATATATGAAAATTCGACACTGTATTGACACTTTTCATGTAATTTTCTTTTCGTAATTATTTATCAATGTAAGAAGAGTAAATATTTCTATTGCATCTTATATGTAAATATGCTGATAATAATACCTAGCTATCAAAACATTGTATTAATAAAGAACATGAATATGAGACAATATATTTGTTTACAAAGCCACATTTGTAGACAGTCAGCCACTGCTGACATTTCTCATCAGCCGAATGTGTACAAATCCGTCAGCCAGAAACGGTGGGTGGAGCCTATTTCGGCTGACAACAGCACAACAGCTGAATGTGTACAGGCCTTAAATGTGTCCACCGACCGTGGACAGGTGGGGACTGCTCTAAGGTCGCTCTAAGGTCGCCCTCTGGTCGCTCTCCGCCATTTTCCGAGGCGGTGACGCTGCCATTGTCGCAGCAATCAACTCGGCTCAAAGTCCTCGGCCGGTGTCATCCAGGCGCCTATTGACCTTTCGTTGTCGGTATCACCTGCCCTCGCTACCCCTCCCTTCCTCCACTCCCACCCAGCCGGCTGGTCTCTGTTGCCACGGGCCTACCCGGAACCCTAATCTGCCCTTGGCCAGTGCCGGCCGAGCGGGCGGGCCGGCGGTGTCATGCAAATGATCGGCCCAGTGTGTGACTGCTGCGCCGGGCCCGGCCGAAGCAGCCGGAGCTGGTCCCTGATAGACTACCAGCAGATGTTGACTTTGCATTTCATGAATCCGCCGGCTGATATGTAGCCGGGCTTCTGCGGTCGCTGAGCCGTGAGGTCGAGTCCGGATGCGACCGGTCCCTCTGCTGGCTCTGTCTCTGTCCCGGGCGAGCTGACGGCGTGACGGCCGAGCCGGGTCGTTTGTCTAGTAGAGCGTGACCGGTGTTCGGCTTGGTGGGATCGCGATGGGATGGTGGTGGGGTGGTGATGGGATGGTGGCTGGATACTGTCAAGATTGCGGGACCTTGGCTAGATGGTTTGCCTTTGGGACGACGTACAATGTTGTTTGTCCATCCATTGCTGTGAAAATATTTGTCTTGAGTTGAGTGGATGGCGGTTTGAACAATGCCATGCGACACATTTCAACAATGGTCAACTATTGTGTGATGCTCTCCAGCCCCAGTTCTTCTCCGATACTCCAGAGATGTAATGGAGCAGTTTGGACTCAGTTCAGGGTCATATTTGGACCAGATGTGCCCAATGGCGGCGGGCTGGGTCGTCTTTGTTGCATAGTCAAGAATTGTTTGGCTGTGATTGATGATAGCTGCCATATCAGCATTATTTCTGAGAAAATTTGTTCGAACGTCGCAATAATACTTGAGTCACTGCGTTGAATGGAACGTTTAAAGATTAAACGAAGGGTAGGCTTGGCCGAATTTCATTCTGCATTTTGAAACAAAAATTATTTTAAATTATGGTTTGCTTACGTCGTCTTACGTGATAAGCTTTGGTGCATTTTTGTTTTGTTTTTCAGCCAAATGGTATTACTATGCATTTCAGACCCCATGAGACCCTGTTTTTTGGCGATAATTTATTTAATATTTGTCCAATTTGCTTCAAATTTTCACAATGGACATTCCAGCTCAAGCGCCAATTTTCATCAATATGGTCTCTTAACAAAATATTAAACTTAAGGGTACTTGTCGTTGCCTCGTAATGTTAAAATCGGCTCCGTAAATCCGTCAGTGGAGTAGAGGCTATCCTTGCGTACGCATGACGTCACAAACACGTGACCATTAAGCTCCGCCCTCCCGGCGGACGGGGCGGTGACCTTGGCCGGTCAGTCGGCTGTGTGGAGCGGGCGGTGGTGGCTGCCGCACCGGGGCGGCTCGCATGGAGCGTAGCTGCCGTGCAGACTGCAGTTGTTGCAACCGTAATTTCATCGAATGAGCAAAAAAAGCGGGCATAAGTAACGCACTAGCTGAAGCCCTTGACTTTGTATTTATCACAAATGTACGTAGGTACTTCCTGTTCAGTCACAAAAATATAAAATTCCACACAAGATTCGGGGCTTGTGAAAAACGCACATAAAAGACGCTGTTGATTTCAAATGGTTGCGTAAAATTATGTATCAGGTCAGACTAAGTCCAAATTACAAAAAAAATGTGTTTCTTAATTCTACACCTTTTATGTCGGAGCATTTTTATGTATCTAGAGCGCTGTAGGCCTGACAGCTCTTCCTGCGAAACCTTTCCCGTATAGTGCTGACCGTTCCCGTATAGTGCTCAACATCCGCCTGACACATTCCTATTTCTTTTTGTGCACGTCTTAACAATATAACACATACAGCGATAAAGGACGATTCGACCACACATCACACATCACGCTTCTGCTCCACCCGGCGCCCCGCACTGCTTCACGAGTCACGAATACGGCCGTCTCGCTAGAGTGATGCCCCAGGCAATCGGCCGCGCCCGCGACATTAGTCTTCATTCTACTTTGTTGCTTTCTGCGCCTTCCTCAGAAACATTTATTGAAGCTGCCAAATATATCAATATTTTTGGGTCATGTGGAGGCTTACGCATGATCTCACAGGTAATCGGGTATAGTGATCTGACCCAACCTGACGATCAGATAGGTGTAACTCCGGTGTAAATAAGTGCCCAGAGTCCAATAGTTCATCTATCTTTTCTTTTACGGCCGGTTCGGTCCTATAATTGATCCTACTCTGACTCTGAGGCCAGTTTTACCAACAGAAAAATAGCCGCCTGCCGGAAATTTTCACCTAAAGACCGCTTCACATACGGAGCGTAAACGCGATGGGCACGTAATCAGATAGGGCTTTGCTTTTTACGCTCCGTATCTGAAGCAGTCTCCGCAAACAGATTCGGCAGGCGGCTATTGTTCTGTTGGTAAAACTGGCCTCTGATCATTATGAAAATTATGAGCTGGTTCGACGTTAAAATACCAAAATATGGAGAAGAGGACACCGCTGCCCTCGAACGGATAATTTTTGGGCTTTCGTCCCGAAACAACTTTGCCAGCTCCATTGTCTCCAGTATGCGGTCCTGATGCGACCTCTCCGCGGTGCTGACGCCGACTGAAACGGCATAGACCCATCGCGGTCACGGCCAGTGGGCGGAGTTAAGTTCGGCCCGGCGTAACGTGATTGGCCAGCGCTCCTATCCAATCCGGTGCGGCAGCGAGCGAGCCTCTATCCGGGTGCAAAAACTGATTAACATTACGAGCCAACGACAGGTGCTCTAAATTTTAATATTTTGTTAAGAGACCATATTGACAAAAATTGGCGCTTGAGCTGAAATACCGTATGCCAAAATTTCAAGCTGATTGGACAAAAATTGGAGAAATTCTCGCCGAAAAACAGGGTCTCATGGGGTCTGAAATGCATAGTAGTATGGTGGGATAATCTTCATACCGCCTTTGGCCCATGGAACCCCGTCTCTCTTGTAAGCCAGCCTCTGAGACAATACTCATGGTGATGGGACGGAGAGGTCGGAGCGACCCACGTGAGTCGTTCCAGCGCTCCGTCTCTGTACCCTGCCCGCGACTCGGGGTCAGGGTCGGGCTGAGGTTTGCCCCCAGACGGTTACAGTCGGTGGTGCGGTGTACCCCACAGGGAGTCAAGGTCAGGCCGCAGTGTGCCATTTAACTTCGGCGGTGTAGTACCCTCAGGGTCGCATGTGCCGTGACCCTTCTCCCAGGGGCGCCGTTGCGGTGGGCCGTCTTCTCCCAGGGGCGCTATTATTAAGCCCCTTTCCCTCCAGGGGCGCCGGTGAAGTGTCCCCTTCCCCCAGGGGCGCCAGCGCGGTGTGTCGGTCTGTGAAGGGGCGCCAGCGCGGTGTGTCGGTCTGTGAAGGGGCGCCGGTGCGGCGGTGTCGCGGTCAGATCAGCCTGCTCTCCGCCGCCGCACTGCGGACCGGCCTGATGAGCCGATGGCTGGCAGCGGGCGGATCGGCCGCCGCACCGTCACTCGGTAATCGCGGCTGAGTGCCAGATGGCCAGCGTCGAATGGAGGTCCGGCCGGCCGACTAACGATCGCCGGGCCGCCCGCGGGGAGCTGTGGGAGCCAGACTGGGAGGACAGAGCTGCGATCACAGAGCTGTGGGAGCCCGGCTAGCAGGGCAGAGCTTGCAGTGAGTCGAGCTGCGACCACTGAGTTATGGAAGCTAGGGCAGAGCTGTAGGAGGCCGTCTGCCAGAGATCGAACTGTGAGAATGACTGCCGTCTGCCAGGATAGAGGTGTGGAAGCCCGGCTGTCGACACAGAGCTGCCGGCTGTCGACACTAGAATGGCCGGAGTCGAGCTGTCAGGACACGGAGTTTAGAATGCAGCATCTAGGTGACCTTCACTTGTTTGTTTGTTTGTTTTGTTGGGTTAGGCGCTTTCGGTCGACAAGACCATTGCAGAGCCGGAAGGATGATAGGAATTAGGGGGAGACATTGGTCTGGGCAGGCACCCTAGTGAGTCGCCGGGGCTGAGCCCGTCCAGAGGACAGGCCACCCAGCCCCAAGGCACTCACTGCACCCGGCTACGGGGTGCGCTCCCTCAGGAGCAGCGGTGCCGCTCCAAGGGAGCAGCCCGCATGAGATAAAGTTGCCTGTCCAGCCCGGAGGGGGGTTGCGGCGTGGAGGAGAAGGATTTCAGTATCCTGAGGATAGAAGCACGGATAGGTGACCTTCACTTGACGGACCTTTCGTGCCGGTCTGGAGACAGCAGAGGATGCAGCCCGCCTCCGTCCACCAGCCCTGCCGCCGGTGCCGCCCCCGGTCCCTCCCGTGCTGCCGGTGCCGGTCGCCCCGCTCGGACCGGCCTGTGGGCGCTCAGTGGGCGCTCGGTGCCGACCGTTTCCGCGAGGTGGCACGCCGCGGAAGTGGTGGCGCTCCGGCGGCGGAGGTGGCTGCCGCCGCTCCGGTTCCGACCCATTACCGGCGCCATCCGTCAGCCGGCCGGCCGGGGGCGACTGCCGCCCGTGCCGCCGCTGCCGCAGCCCCCCGGAGCGGCAGAGATCCCAGATAAGCCGCGTCGAACCGACGGATGTTGTTCGAGTGTGTTTCCGCCCGAACGGGCTGATCTAGTTCGTATTCATGTTTTTTTTTTCGACTGATTTGGAAATCCTCTGTCGAGATGAGTTTCTCCTCCTCGCTGCGTGGCGGATGCTCCAGGAAAGGTCAACCGTCGGCTCTGACAGGCAATGAGAGGTGGGCGAAAGCCGTATTAAAAAGTGACTCATTACTGATTCCTCTTATGTACTAATGGGGATTATCTTTCAGGAAGCAACATGCAGTGTAAGTTACAATATGCTCCCCATACCCTTACACTTTTACATCCAGCCGCATGGAAAGGGTGATCATTGCGTTCGGAGGGCTCATGTGACTGTTTCTTATAGCTTCGATCTTCTCTGCAAGTGTCACCTTTCGGTGTGTGAGTGACGGGACTCCATACCAAGCACGTGGCTGGCCTGGATGTCCATGTGCGCGCTGCGTATGGGGTGTCCGTGTGGGCTATAACTGTGGGCGGCTGATTGACGCGATGCCTCTCCTGTTTCAGCTGTTTCGGGAAGTGCGGATAATGAAGATGCTCGATCATCCAAACATCGGTGAGTGGGTGGGATTGGGAGCGAGAGTCACATGGCTCAGCAATGTGACCGGGGGAGTGGGGGATCTACCCGACCGCCTGTCCGATGCGTGTCTTTGCTGTCTTTCCCCACGTCATTCGGTGTGGTGACGCTGCTCTCTACTCGGAGCAATAGTTGCCCCACCCTGAGCAGGAGCCGCCTTCGCCCTGAAAGTGAACAGTAGCCGCCCCACTCTCAGCAGAAGCCGCCCCATCCTGAACACCAGCCGTCTCACTATGAGCAGAAGCCTTTGAGCATCATCCGTCCTTGCTCAGAGTGGTAGTCGTCCCACTCTGAACAGAAGCCGCCTCACTCTCACCATAAGCCGTCCCATTCTGAGCAGTAGTCGCCTTGACCTTATATCACTGCAGGGCGGAGCGGTGATGACGTCGGTCGACGCTCGTTTGTCGCAGCTCTGCCCGGCCGTTTGACGGCTATCCTGCCGTCAGTCACTCGATGAGACGACGGTTCGGCGCGGCGGCTGGCCCCGCGCCGGCCGGGTCGCCAAAGGCTGACCCCATCCATCACTGCCCGTCATCTCCGCCGACCTGCCCCCTCTGCCCCTCCCCGGCGGGCCACTCTGTCTGTTTCCGGTCCTGACTCGGAGACGGTCGGAGACTGACACAAATGCGCCGCCAATGACCGGCGAGCTCGCTGGCCGCCGCCGGCTCGGTCGCAAAAACACCGCCCGGCCGACCGCCGCCGCTGCCAGTTGCCAGGGTCGCTGATTGATCAGACTGTGCGGGAACGACGAACACAGAGAGGGAGAGCCACGCGCCGGGGGTTACGTAGATCCATCGCGGGCGCCCAGCCACGATCTAGAATCTCATTTTACTAACGGTGGTTTTCAACAGGAATTGGCAGCTCTGTCCGGAATTTAGTTACCGCTAACGGCCAGTAATTACATTTTCTACCACACATTTACGCTCATTCAATCTTGAGGCTGCCTGAGGTGTTAATTAACGTTAGCTTTCATACACCAGTGTATTTATAGGTGTTGCCAACTGAACACCGCAGCACGACACTGCTGGGGAACTGGGTTCTGAATTGGCGTCAGACATTTCGTAGCCACCAAGCTGAAAATACGGTTAGAGGAGAGCGGCGTCTCGGCGGCCGCGCCTGCCGCCGCCGCCGTCTGCTGCTACCTCGAGCGGCGGTAGCGCGGTCGGACCGTTTTATTGTGTCCAGATATGATACAGAGCTGCGGCTCCCCACGGAGCGGCGGGAGTTCAGCGGCCGCCGCCGGCGGCGGATGCTGATGTGCGGTGCGGCGGCTCCTCGGCAGTGGTGATAAATGCCGGCTCCGCGCCGCGGACGGCAGTGGAATTCAGTAGTCCGCGGCCGGCGGGGCCTGCAACGTCCCACTGGCCGGCGCGGGAGGGCGTTAGAGGCAAAATTCAGCTCGGTCTGGACTGAGCGCGGGCCGGGCCGATGGTCTTCTGCGTCCCCCGAGACAGCGGTTGACACCAGTCAATGGTTTTTGCTGTCGCCACGAGAGCGAAATGGAGCGAGCCTGTGGCAGCGGCCGCGCCCCTGCCAATGTCTGGGTCGTTTTCTCTCGACTGTTGTGTTGTTTTGTGGCCTGCCTGTGTGCGTTTGAAAGCGTCGTGCTAGTTGAGTACACAGATCTCTTGCAATATCACCGACTTCAGCAATCGTAGCGATTTGGGCTAGTGATTAGCTCACATGAACTGAATCTTGTTAACAACGTTCCCTGCAGCAACCTAATTCAACACCAACAGTATGGCTCTTGTTGGACTGTAGAATATGTACTGACCCCCGCCCCTCTCGGCCCGTCCGGCAGTGAAACTGTACCAGGTGATCGAGACCAAGAAGACGCTCTACCTGGTAATGGAGTACGCCTCGGGCGGCGAGGTGTTTGACTACCTCGTCTTCCACGGACGCATGAAGGAGAAGGAGGCGCGACTCAAGTTCCGGCAGATCGTCTCCGCCGTCCAGTACTGCCACTCCAAACGGATAATACACAGGGACCTGAAGGTGAGACATGGTGGGGTGTTTTTGGGTTTGTCATAGTTGGATGTCATGGAGCTTGAAGGTGGGTAGGCTGCAGATTGATTGCTGAAGTGGTCAGTAACTCGAGGGAAGTCATATGTGACCAGTGCCTATGTAGCTAAAGAGTGGTCAGTTAGCGATTTGGCCAGTGTGCCAATATATGGAGAGAATAGGCAGTAGCGAGCTGACAGTCACAGGCTGGGTCCTCACTTCTCACCACAACACCAGCGCATTGGGAGATCGACACGCTGCAAGCAGTGTACTCGTATGTCCCGAACAGCCCACCGTCACCCGCCCAGGGTTCACGGGGGTCATACGGCACCATCCGCTGATCGAGTTACGGGCCCTGTCGACACCTCTGTGATATCATCGGTGTCGTGGTATCTCTGACACACTGCCGATGGTATGCCCGTCGTATCATCCCGCTGGTACTGCACCGGCCCAAACAAACACCCAGCCCGGGTCGGTATCGCACAGGAATGTGCGGCCACCGGCGGCCGGCCGTCAGGGACGGCACGCGATGCTCCGCCGCACCCGTGTAATCCCCGAGACGGATGCCGCGCGGGTCGGTCCAGTCACGACACGGTGCTTGGCGGAGCTCTGTGGCCCTCATCGGGCCGGCAGGCGCCTATCTAGACCCTCCACTTAGAGGAGTGAGGAGGGGGTCGGCGGGGGGGCTATCGTGACCCCAGCCGACCCGCTGATGCCACTCGAGTGTCCACCGTGTGAGAGATCGGCGGAGCTCGCCGATCCCCGGCTCTAATACTCGAGCAAGCGCGCCCGCCCGCGCTGCCTGGTTCGTAGAACTGCCGACACAGGGCCGGGCGGCACACAAAGCCACAGGCGCCTAAATTCCGGCCCGTGTCGCTGGAATTTAGGCGACGAACCGAACCGAGCTGATCCGAACCGGACCGACCTTCGCTGTTCTGAGCTCAGCTGGGACCTGCCCGTTTGAACAGTCGCATTGGAAAGGACGTCGCGCCTTCTCGGAGTCAGCCGGTCCCTCCGCTGGTTTTGTTGTGACCTTTACGCGGCCTGGAGGCGATCAGCCCCCGTCTGTTGTTTGTCGCTCGTCGGCGTCGATGGCACGGCTGCGTCGTTTGCGACGTTCCCCGGGGCACCGTTCAGTTCCGAGATGGCCGGCGGTGCGGTGCCGTGGGACATACAGACTGAGACGGACGTTGTGTGGGAGGGGGCTGGGGATGGGGGCGGGTCAGGTGGGGACGGGGAGACGTCGGAAGTGGAACTGGGTGTTTCCGAGTCTAACTCATAGGGGATATCAGACTACGTGCAATGCATTAAGTCTGAGCGCAGTAGGCGGCGGACTGTCGCTGGCTGAATGGTGAACAGACAGCCGTCGCCGGTTGTGGGGCAATAGCGGAAATTGGAGACTGTTGATGTTAGGATCTGACGTAACTGTTCAGCCAACTGCACTCATTGGCCTGTACTGGGGACGGGGGGGGGGGGAAGGGGCGAAGTTAATACGATTTGAAAGTGCCTCAGATGAAAGTACGGCTGATTTGGGCAGACTGGCACTGGGAAATATAATATGGCAAAAGTTAAATCCTTACGTTTCATATTGTATACTTTTCATCGCAAGTGCCCTTCAGGGTCAGTATAGAAACATCTGAACGTTTGGTATGGAGAAATCTCGGCCTTGGGTTTGTACTTTGTATAGCCATTGTTGGCTGGCTCCTATTACGTTGGTTGTGCTTTGTTGGCCAGTATCAACCATTGTTCTAATTTGTACCGGTATTTCAATACATTGCCACATAAGAAATGTGGTGATTTTTGTCGCTGGATGTTTATCTGTCATTGTCTTATACCATGGTCCCTGTGACGCTGCCAAGGCTATCGCCGTTTCGTGCCGTTTGGTGGTGTGTCGGACTGTCGGCGGCCACGAAACTGACCTCGAGCCCTCTGTTTCAGGCGGAAAATCTGCTACTAGACAGTCAAATGAATATCAAAATAGCCGATTTCGGCTTTAGTAACGAATTTACCGTGGGCAGCAAGCTGGACACGTTCTGCGGCAGCCCGCCGTACGCCGCACCGGAGCTCTTCCAAGGTGAGATCGATAGGAGTCCCGATGAGGACTTGCCTTCACCATTCGTTGTCTGGTGGGGGCGAACGCCAGCTGGGAAAGGGAGCGTGAGGGGATGCGGAAACGTTTGTCCTGAGGAAGGCAAGGGCGGATGACACGGGATGCATGGTATGAGGACGTTAATCAATGGATGAATGGTCCGGAGGTGTCTCACGATGCCTAGTGTCTTACTTAATACGGCCTGTCTGGTCAGGCTCTGACAATTTCAAACGTCATATCATACTTAGCGCTGCCCTACTCTAGGCCTATGCGTTGTTGCTGAGTTCCGGCTGGCCACTGGCTCAAGGGAAGAGTGTAAGACAACAGACGAGCTCGGCTGTTGTGCACTGCTGTCCGCAGCACACCTGTCCTTTCAATCCCTGGCAGGGACGAAGCCACCGCTGTGCCAACTGATACAACCGCATAATGACCTCGTCTGGGACTCTCCCAAACACAATCCGTGCCAAGTGTGCTAACTGCACCGACACCGCCCACCCAGTCGGGCGATAGGAGAACTCCGGCCGGTCGGGGATAATGAGCGACAGCGTGTACCGAGCGGCGGAGTCCGGTCCAAGTTGGCAGCGGACTGGCGTGGGCCCACTGCCCAGCCACGCTCGTCGACTGGCCTGCAGCGCTGGAGCCGCGACCGAGTGGATATATCGCGCCGCCGCCCGGCGGCGCTGTCGGAGTCTGATCAGTCATGCAGGATTTATCGGTACTGTCTGAATGTGCTGAGCAGCGCAGAGTGCTTCAGATGGCCTGCAGGGGCGCCGTCCCCGCCCGGACAGACTCGCAGTGACAGACACCGACGGCCGGCGCAGATTCGATGGGACGGGCTGAGCTCTTAGCAACGGACACCCCGGAGAAGTGTCATGACGTCATAAGTTATCATTCGTGATGGAGTAATGTGACATGATGGCCAGTGACTCAGTGAGACTGACTCATGAGTAATCACTAGATACACTGGCTGTTGTAGACACAGGCATGACAATGCCTGGAGAACGAATGTGGAGGTTCTGAAGGAACTATATGATTTTCATCCTACAATATGTCATCGATCGTACACTGCTCTCCCGCCGTCACTGTTGAGTTCAACCGACTCGTCCCATCGGGTCGAACAGCTGCCGGCGGCGTCACGTCGAGCCTGCTGTCCGCCGACGCCGGTCCCGACAGGAATGTCGAATAGCTCCGGACGTTGGACGCGATACGTGCTGCAGAATCCTGGCAGAAAGGTCATCGAACCAGCGCTCAGCTGATGGCTCCGCCGAAATCGAGTTATGGTCTGTGACATTGACTCACGGAAACTGAGGTGGTTGATCGTGTTACAGGGACCGGCCCGCGTCATCAATACCGGTGATGTTTTATCTAATCTTTGGACTCGAGGCTGTCAAAGGTCAGGTGTGGCGTCGAACCTCAGCTGTGAACGGCTGATCGGACGTGCGTTCTAGCCCCGTTTGGGTGGATGTGCGCGGCGCTGAGACGTGTGTCGGAGCGTGGTGGTGGTGGACCGTGGGCGGTGAGGTTCGGACGGCGGAGGAGGGAGGCCGGACCGCTCTGAGGTGCGGATCGATACCGCCGCTCGTAAACGGCTCCTCCAAACAGCTCATCTGCGGCCGGGATGGCGGCCCCGCCGGACCGTCCGGGCCTGCCTCTATCTAGGCCTGACCCTGACCCTGCCTGAAGCACAATACTGGCTAAATCCTGACACTATCTACACATATCCAACCCTGTCTCGATCTTGACTTGCCTCGACTCCAACCTTACTCAACCCCTGACCCTGCCTCTTTCCCAATTCTGCCTCGATTCCGACCCTGCGCGTTTCTTCAAGCTAGGACGAGCTGAGCCGCGACTGAGCGGGGCACGGTTGGGTTGGCGCGGAGGGGGACGCCAACTCACCACCCCTTACTGTCAGCCCGGAAAGTTCGGTGAGCGTGGGAGCCCACCTGTTCGATCACCGTTCGGACACGCACGGCGGGGTAATGTTTTATCGATACGCCGACCGCTGGTGGTATCGATAAGCGTTGATTTGTGTATCGATCGTATTGATAGCGATTCGGACAGACGGTGAGGCGGTGGTCTGTCTTCAGGGCGGGCATGTGATGGTCCCGTGGCTACCTATGTGTATTGGAAGTACTGGAGATAGTAAAAAGGATCAGCATGGCAACCGGTAGGCTGCTGACGTACTCGTACTTAGCTTCTGTCTCGCATATGTTAGCTCACTGTTGGCTTTCTGTTCTCTCAGTGCTGGCTCATTGCCGTATCTGTATCAGCTTTCCACTGTCTATTGGCTCACTGTTGCCTCACTCCAGTGTTACTGCTGGCTCTGTGTTCCCCAGTGTTGGTCCGACCCAAGCAGCTGTAAAATATCCCTCTGACCTTTGGAGACCAATCGAGCGTCGTGTCGACTCCCAGCCAGCCAGCTCCGCGGCGTCAATAGCTAGGCTTACACAGACTGACGTCGCCAATCGCTCTGAGAGTTTGGAGCCGGAGTTATGAGTCGGTGTTTGAATCAGCTCAAGACTGAGTCGAATGAGATCTTAGACAATGTCAGTAGGTATGAGTGAGAACTGAAAAAAGGCGTGATTGTAATGACGCAAAATAGTGTCAACCGTCCATTGAACCCTACGGAGGCTATTTGTCTATGACCGTCGCTTTGTTTACGCGAACTTCCTGCCGCAATGGATGCGAGCCATTGAGATTGGGCACTGAAGAGCGTCACGGAACGCAGCTGTTACCAACAGCCCAGCTTTTCTCTGTCACTGCGGGCAGCAGAAACATTGTTCCTTCATACTTCCGTGCCTCTTTACTTCAGATCCCTCGGGGTTCCATACCAGCACCGCCACTGTCACCTCAGCCACAGTGACATATTCGCGCGGCTTTCCCAGGTACTTCCCTGGCCTCTGGAGCTGAATACTCCATATTACTTTCAAAGTAGTTTTATCCCCCGAACTTGTGGAATTAAAGCCTTGTGATGACGGATCTTTGATGTATTATTCATCAGGCGTGGTATCATCCAAGTTGAGTTGAGCAGCTGTAGGCCCTGTGGTCTAGTCGCCGTGTCGCCGTTCGATAGCGCCGATTGGATTGGAGGCGGCTGATAGTGCCGTATCTCTGCTACGGGGAAGGCTGGGCGCCTCCCCTGCGGTGGTACTCGAGAGCGGGTGACATTGTGGACGTCCGACCTGCCATCTACCGGCAGTGAGTGGAACTACTCCATCCCCGTGACCTGGCTGCCACCTACCGGCAGCTGGCCGAACCTCGTTGTGCTTTGCTAACCCGCTGTAGTCGTCCAAGAATGGAGACTTCCGAATGGTCAATGCTAAATGATTGCGGACCGGCTGGTCGGCTCTATTCTGGCTTCCGCTTCCGTAAGGCTTTCGGCGAGCTCGGCTGTAGTCTTTGCTAATTTATTAGCAGACTCTCGAAGATTAAAAACATAAACAAACATATAAAACATAGAAGATTAAAAACATAAGATTAAAAACATAAAAACAAACATAAAAACATAAAAACATAAAAACCTTAGAGAAAAAAGAAACAATCGTCTCGCTCCTCCCCATCCCTCTCTGGAATACATTACACGAGGCATGGCTAATTTTCTTTAGTAACATTCCTTGCTCGATATATCTCTGAACAAGGATCTGATTAAATCCGGTAGCAGGAGATTCTATTGCCTGATCATCTCTGGTCCTCCGATGACCGCCCACTCCAACCCTTTCTGAGTTCCCAGTGACTGGGCTGGCCCGCGGGCGTAGCCGCTCCTCGCCCGGCCAGGATGACGGAGCGACGGGTGGATTTCCGTGGGCAGTTCAGTGGCTCTGTCGGGCCGGTGATGGGGTGGTCCGACATGCGTTGTTGATGGAATGGGAAGGGAGGAGAGGGAGAGAGTGGCATGGGAACAGGCCGGGACTGAGGGAGAGGGGGAGGAAGAAGGAGTGGCATAGATACAGGCTGGCTCTGAGAGAAAGAGGGGAGGGGATGATATGTATGCTGGGTCAGCTACAGAAGGGAAATGTCTGACAAATAGTGACTGGTGTAATTGATTGACTTTTTGGTGTGACGTGCAGACTGTGACTGATCGTGACTATTTGGGTGATAAGGCTGAGTTATGTGACTGTTAAACCTAAATGGCCTTACATGCCGAAAGTACACGCTTAGGAGCATGGTGGGTTACATAAAGTGTTCTAGTAAACTGTGTGCTGACATTTTAGCTCGTTCTTTGAGCTGTGACAATTTATACCCGCGCCGCGGCTAAATGAAAATGGCTGTCTCAGGCTGGTGATGTAATTAAGCTAATTGCATTGTCTCTGTGTGATCTATGGCTCTTATATAACAAAGCTGCAGCTGAGGCCACAAGCTGCTGTTGTTTTTGATGTGTCAGTAATTTTAAACCGTCTCTGATAAGTGAAAACTCCTTCCGAGTCTGTCTCACAATTCCCTGTATTCGACTCTTCTGTAGTTACTAATTTATCACTCCCCTGTTCTAACTCTAACCATAGACCACTTTAACCACATTTGTGTGCTACATGGGTATGTAGTGGACTATGCTTTTAACCTTATATCTAACCGCCTGCCTGTTCTCACCTCACCAGGTAAGAAGTACGACGGCCCGGAGGTGGACGTCTGGTCCCTGGGAGTGATCCTCTACACATTGGTCAGCGGCTCACTGCCCTTCGACGGCTCCAACCTCAAGGACCTGCGCGAGCGGGTGCTGCGCGGCAAGTACCGCATCCCGTTCTACATGTCCACCGACTGCGAGAACCTCCTCAGGAAGTTCCTGGTGCTGAACCCGACCAAACGGGCCAGTCTGGAGGTGAGACAGGGGCAGGGATGGAAAGAGAAAGAGGCATGGGTGTCAATGGGGGGTTGGATTGCTGCTAGGCTCCCGAGGGCGACTGCGAGCGTTGACAGTGAATGGAGATGCGTTGTAACTCGCTACCGTGAGGTGTTACCCGGTGGTTTCATTTTTTTAGAGCTAAGCTGAGGTGATATTGCAGAAAAACATTGATATTTCGGTGTTAATTGCAGGAAAAACATAGATATTTCGGTGCTATCGATTTGTTTTGGGCGGTGGCCGCTGGTATTTCCAATCTCCACGGCACTGTGGCTTCAGCCCATGACCGATGTCCCTGTGTGGGGTGAGGGATGCACCGGTACACACGATAGTATGATGTTTAGCGACCGTCCCGGCGGCGGCGGCATATGAGCGGGAAGCCCGCTGCGCCGGCCAGTCAGCGGAACTGGCCACAGCCGAGACTGAAGGGTTGGCTGGACACAAGCGTCCAGCGCTGGCGGTGTCTATTTTTGGACAGAACGCAGTGTCTGGCGCGGTCAGGCGCACACCGGCCCGTCTGCTGCCCGTTCTGAGAGCTGTTCCTGTCTGTGGCACATGACCGCTCACCCCCCGGCCCCCACACCCCATGTCACACTCGAGTGTGACCCTGCGGGTGTCACATCGGCCTGGTCCCGGCGGCCGGCGTGCCGTGTCATAATTGACCAGATTCTATAACGGGCGAGAGCGGATGGCTGCCGGGAGCCGATAGGCGCCAATTAGGATCTGGATGTGTGTGCGTCACTGAACTTCCTGGTAGCGTGCCGCCGTAACGGCTGGAGCGATGAGGATTGAGGGTCTGCTCTCCAAGCGGCGGGTGGCAGAGGATTAGGGTTAGCTCCAGTGGAATCCAACAGTCCTCTCTAGCTGAGCCACTCGGTAGAGGCCCGGGCCGGCCGCCAACGCCAGTTTACCAGCCCAAAGGTCGCTTCATTAGCTGGCTCGGGCAGCTGACGTCATTGTTTCGTCACTGGAACCAGCGGCCCGCGCACTCAGGTCGGGGTGTCGCTAGGATGGGCGGGCCCCTAGAGCGGCGCGATTGGAAATGGTAGAGAATCCTGGAGTGGAACGGCGATATTATACGGAGCCTGGGCCTGGGGCGCATGGCCAGTTGTACTGAGGAACCGGTAGCTCGGAATTTCCTGTGGACATTACCATGACAGATCGCTGAATTCGTGTGGTGAAAGTGATAGTCTTTCAGACTCTGGCATCAACGATTACTGATGGTTCTGAGAGATACGCTGTATGCGCTGGATATGCCCTGAATGAAATCCGCTGTGCTACTCGATCGCGAGTACTGTCGGTTATTGACTTACCTGATCGTGGCGAGTTTCAATTGTACCTTCCGTTAGCCAGTGTGACCTTTGGAGGCTGGTCTGTGGGTCTCAGCGCCCGTCAGATACTAGGGAATCGTGCAATATGACTGTTATGCAATGGGTCTACCCAACATTTAGCCCCTCGCCAGGCTGCGACACCACGTACACCCGCACTGTGACGGTGCTCCGTTTTCAGCAGGCCATCATGCGGGACAAATGGATGAACTCTGGCTGCAATGAGGAGGAGCTGAAGCCCTACGTGGAGCCCGAACACTGCATGGACGACCCGCGAAGGATAGAGCAGCTTGTCGGCATGGGCTACGCGAGATCAGATGTCGAAACCAGTCTCAAGGAGGGCAAGTTTGACGATATCTATGCTACCTACCTGCTGATGAGCCGGCGAGCAGCTGATGTGAGTGACCAGGGGTCGCTGGGGTGGATGGGGGAGGGGAAGGTTGGGAAGTGGAGGGGAGCTCGTCACACTTGTCGTTTGGTGCGACAGTTGTATGGATTCATCTTGTTGTGCTTTGAATAGCCTGTTGTAGTTTCGTTCCTTCGAAGTTACCAAGGTAAATGACCATTTCATGTGACTGTGCGGCGTTTGAAGGTGTAATTCCCCTAATTAAATTGTGGTTGGGCTTCTCGTGATGGTCCTTTGAACCAGTTGACGGACGGTCGTCGACCCACGGTTCTCTAACCCTCCCGCGCCCCTCCGTCCCCAGCTCGAGTCTGACGGCTCACAGTCTGGCTCGTCCCTCTCGCTGCGACACATGGGTCCGGGCGCGCCCACGCCGCCGCCCACCAGCCTCCAGTCGCCGCCCCACAACAAGGTGCACCGGTCCATCTCGGCCACCACCAACAGCAAGCCCAACCGGCGCGCATCCTCGGGTGAGCACTGTGAGAGAGAGAGAGATAGAGAGAGAGAGAGAGAGAGGGGGGAGAGAGGGAGAAGAGAGAGGGAGGGAGAGGGGTGAGGGACGGACGGGAGGTCGGTGGACGGATGTAGGAATGGGTGGGAAGTATTCAATCGGTTCAGCGAAGTGCTGCTCTGCCATTTTCGATAGCCCTGCCATGTTCACTTCACGGTCAGCGGATATATTATGTTAAAGTCAGGTAGACTGAGACTCGGCCCACTGCTTATTGACCTAGACCGGAAGCCGTTACCAGTCTCTCAGCACACAGAGATTGTCCATTTGATCGTTCCCGGAACAGAGTTTCTCAGGAATGGCCGGTATGAGCGGCCGGCGAGCGCTGGACGTCTCAATGGTATGCAATTATGATCATTCCTCTCGGCTGACGGGTGGTGTTCATTGAGCGGCGTTGAACTGCGTCGAACCGTCCGGGGCGGACACTGCCGGTCAGGTAGAGATGCCGTGTTCTTGATGTCCGTCATCTTGGCGCTGGTGGGAGGGATGAGTGCTTGTTCCCCTCATGTTACCCCTTGACACTACCAGCTTGATGTCGTGTCGTTGATTTCACCTTTCCCATTGCAGGCGTGAGCACCACGTCAACACGACCGGCAGCGTTAGCCAACATCAACAACTTCAAGCGGCAGAACACCATCGACTCTGCCACCATCAAGGCCAACACGGCCAGGATCAGTATGGGCAGCCGGCAGGCGGGCGGCGCCGTCTCGTCCGCGGTCGCGCCGCCGTCCGCCGCTGCCGGAGAGTCCGGCAAACCGGCGCACTGGTCGGCCAAGTCGGCCGTCAAGACCACCCCTCTGAGGTCAGCCGGCTCGGCGGCAGCGCGCACCGTCGGCCCGGCGGCCGGCGCCGACGCGCTACGGGCGGCACAGGACGGCACGGCGTTCGCAGATTTGAAGTTGAACTCGGAAGAGTCGTCAGCTAAGGCGACGGCCGATGGGGACGCCGGTCGGGGATCGAACGTGCGGTCTGTGCGACTCGACTCGGCGGAGGAGGTCTCCGCGGAACCCAAGACGCCGAGCTCGGCCAAGAAGGATTCGACGAGGTGAGAAGGGATGGGGAGCGGTGTGGCGGCCGGTGGTTGTCGGTAGGTGTGTCTTGTCTGTGCCACAAGTCATGTACCGGGCCGTGTCTGGGTGTGTCTTGTTTCGGCCTATGTGTCTGTGTTTGTGCCAGATCCCCCCCCCCCCCCCCCACGGTGTGTGAATGTCGTCGTCAAACCAGGCAATATTTGAGCATTTAAAGTTGTGCTCTTTTTGTCGGATCTGGGCCCCTGTTAAAGTACGTACATACCACGTTGCAGTGTGTGGCTGGTGGGGAGGGATATCAGTGTGATCGACGAGGTGAGTGTGAAGTAGGCTATATACGAGTATATCTGGTGGTAATTGTATGAGTCTGGCGTTGGTGGAGGGTCTTGGGCCACCGGTGCACAGCTGCTAGAGCATAAATGAATCACATCTTTCGGGAGTTCCTCGTATAAATAGCGTTTGCTGTACCTAGAATCTCCCTGCATCACATTGAACTAACTCATCTTCGCAAATGGTGTCTGGGCTGTAATCATTTCCATTTCACGCAACGCCTGTTTCTGTTACTGACATGCTAACAAGGGTTGTGGAATCTGCAAGCCTGTATCTACCATTTCATTGTGGTGCAGTACTGAGCATCTGTAATTAACACTGCCATCGTTATGTTTAACTATCAGGACTAACATTATCGAGGTGATGGTCTGTCTACTAACCCCTTCTCTGTCAATCTGTGCTGCATCTGATCTGTCTGCCGGTTGGTTTTTGCGTAGCTCGGCGCCGCCGACTAACCGCACACCTACCAGCACGGCGTCTCTGACGGCGACGGGCACCGCCCCCGCCACCACCGCCGCCCCCGCCCCCGCCCCGACCGCCGCCGCCGCCGCCGCCGCGTCGCCCGGCTCCCTGCCGCGACCGGTCAAGGTCAAGTCGAGCTCAGTGTCGTCGGCGCAGGGCTCGGCGCCGCGTCCCTCCTCAGAGCTGCGGCCCAGGTACCGGCCGCGCGCCGTTCATTCTCTCTGCTGTGTGGGCTGTCTCCCTCCGCTGCTGACCCGCCTGTTACCCTGCCTGCTGCATGTCGCCTGTCTGCTCTACTCAACACCAAGCCTTGGTGGCTGCCAAACACACTGCCACTGGCTCTGCCGCTGCCGCTACAGAAAGATACCCAATGGCGCCGCTTACTTACAATCTCCCGCCGCTTATGTCAAGCCGACAGAAGCTCATCCGGCTGCTCTGTGCTTCATTGCATGCCATTATTTATCCTGTGGGTTGATTCAGAGTGGTCGGCGCTTTTCTGACGACGGCTGGTTATGAGGTGACTGGAGCGGTCGGCCTGAGTCGTTTGTCTCTGTCTGAGTGACTGGGTCGAGGGGGGTGGGATGGTCCGGCCTCGTCCGCCGGCCGCGGGGGCAGGAGTGGTGGCTGACGCCCGCCGCACTGGGGAGAGCGTCTGTCCAGGGGTGTGTGGAACAGGGGATGTTTGTTCCTGAAGGGTAGCGCTGATCCAGCTGACTGGAAGTGTTGCTGTGACTGCTGCTGGACTGAAAGGAGCTCGCCAATTTTGAGGTGTCAGTCCTCAGATTATGTTTGCTCAATGGAGGACTATTGAGTGTGTGCTGCTGATTTCATTGTGTGCGAGTCAGCTGTGAAGATATGCGCATGTGTTTTGATCTGTAGCTTGTATGCTTGTGTGTTCCCTATTCTGCGTTTTTCATGTCTCATTACGCTGCTACATGCTCCCTTTGAATTCCTTATACGTTATTTCATTCGTTATTCATTCGCTTTACGTAATGTCCGGCCATCTGATTGTGTTCCGCTGCTTGTTTGCAGTTACCATGGTGTTATGTCACCTTTTAATGGTTGTGTATTATTTTTTATGTTTGTAAGGTGAGTACTCTGTAAGCAGTACTTCCCCTACTTCCAAGCCGGGGTGATTTGCTATTGGTATCCTTTGATCTACCTTGCTTACCAGTACGTGCACTTTGACAGGTTATGATATTTTGCACTTAAAAGTAGCATTACCAACAACCAGGTAGCTGAAGCCAACAGGATACGCCTCAACCCCATTGGTCACCCATCCCCCTACCCTGCCGTACCCTTCCCTCCCCATACTAACACGCCCCTCTATGCCCCTCGAACTTCCAAGCCCCTGTCGGCCCCTGTCTAACCCTCCCCCGCTCGTCCCCACAGCAGCGCCGGCCGCGCCACTGCGCCGCTCTCGGCGGCGGCCCGGACGGCCGGTCGCGGTGATCCGGCCTTCAGTCGCAACATTCCCAGCCGCTCGACGTTCCACTCCGGCCAGACTCGCTCGCCGGGCTACCGACCCGCCGGCGTCGGCGGGCCGCACGACGCCAGTCGCACCTCGTTCTTCTCAAAACTGTCGTCAAAGTTCGCCAAACGGTGAGTTGTGCGGGATAATGGCGGCTGTCGGATTGTCGGTAGATATGTGTGTGAGTGATTTTGGCCGTTTGATGCGGCGTGCAGTCGCTTTGCGGTTAAGTTTGTAGTTTTCAGCCGCATGTCATGCATGGCAAAAATAGTTTGTTCTAGTTTTGCGTGATTAGAGTGATAGTTTTGCTGTGATCGCTTTTTTGCCGAACTTTGCTGAGCTATGGCCATGCGCGGTAGATAGAGAGCCTAGCTTATTTGATTGCGAGAGTGCCTGATCACTTTGGCCAGCTAGTGTTTGTTTTGGACTGAATCTGCTATCACTCGTGGCCTTTTCATGGCGAGTGTGTACGCCTTTGCCTCGTAGTTTTAGCACAGCCTCTCTGCTTTTTCTACTTCACTCCGCCGGTTTCCCCTACCCACAGAACGCCTCGGCTTAACGAAACGCCATTTGATTCTCCAGCGCCTAACCCTTTTGTAGTTAACAAGTCCACCATTTCCAAAAAGACGGGACGACGGTGCTCAAATTTGTCCGAATTCTGTGAGCGGCGTCCCATTTTACATTAGCGTAATGAGCGGCCGTTTTCAGCGTAATGGACGGGATTGCCTCAGCTGGCGGTAAGCCGATCTGCCCCGGGCGGCGAGGCCTTATCCCGGACCTCTCTGGGCTACATGAGACGAACGTCCTGTCCAAAATGGACCGTTTGATCTGAGCTGGCCTCCCTCCGCTGCGTATGACCCGGTCATTGCCGGTAGCGTGGGACCGGTAATGAAACTGCTGTGTAATATTAACTCGAGTGGGTGGAAGTCACCTTTGTAAACCCACTCACTCCCAACCCGTCACTAAGAGTTTCACACTCCCAGTCCCCGTAATATACCCTGGTCACTTTGGCCCTCTCAGCGCCTCTACCTTTCTTTGGTTCTGATCTCTCGGGCGCCTCCCGTCTCACTTCTATGTGTGGCCCGCCCTGCCTAACCGCGAGCACTAGCCTGTAGTGGTCACTAGTCGCCTGTAGTGAGTAGTACCTGTAGCGCTTAGAAGCCATAGCCCGCAGTAGATGCTTTGCTATCGCGGTAGCCACTCAGTGCCGCGCGGCGTCTCGCCTGAGCTGGGCGATCATGGGGCAATCAGCACCCCCAGTTTCTGCACTTGACCTCGGCTAGAGAGACGGCATCATAGCTGTTCTCGGCACGGGTCGAGAAACGTCGGCCGTTCACGTCGGCATAGATAGCTGACAGGGTCAAGACCACGGGACAAAATACAAACACACGGGGGCACCGCCCTGGCGACATGAAGATGAGAGGCGAACGACCGTAAGGCAGGCGCCCAGGACGTTCAGAGTTGATGCGAGGCTATGGCGACAAATGAACTGAGATCGAAACAACCATAAGGAGCACATCGAGCGAGGCGTGCGGACGCATAAGTGTCAGAGAGGTGTCACACCCACGTCAGGAGCGCCTTGTTGAGTTTTCTCCCAGTGGGCGGGCCTTCGGGCCGGCCCTCCCCGCGGCGGACGAGCCGCGCCGTCACCTCCCTGGCAGTGCCATCTCCCCGCGGGCCGCCGAGGTGCGTCGGTGAGGCGACTCACGCGCCGCGCGCCGCCCCATGTCTGCTGCAGCCCGCCCTCTCTGTCGCGGGACGAGCGACCCGTGTCGGCCAGCCCTGCCGCCGGCACCGTCAAGCGGGACACGCCGGCCACCGCGGCGCGCAAGTCGGGCAGTCTGCGACGGGACGAGAAGCCGCCGTCGGCCGGTCTGGCGCTGCGCCGATCGGGCAGCGCCGCCGGCGGCTCGTCGAAAGCGGCCGCCGCCCGCGCCGCAGCCATCGCCGCCGCCGCCGCGGCTGCCTCGTCCAACTCGGCCAAGTACTGACTGCGCGCGCGCGCGGCCGAATGGTGTGACTGTCCGGGACGCGGCGCGTTGTACAGGGTCGACACTAGGACGGAGAGCCTCCGTGCCTGTCTGCACACACGCGCGAATGCACTCGGCTGGACATATGGCGCTTGGCTGCCCGATGGGAGGGTGTCCATGGTGTTGGTCGTCCCCGTCCCTGGGTGTGATTTGGTGTGGTCCTCTGGTGTGCATGCTATCTATGTTCGAGGGCGGCCCGCCATCCGTGCGGCCGTCTCTATCCGCCCGTGCTGTCCCCGTGCCGCGGCTGCGACCCGCCGCTCCCCTCCGGGCGCCCACTAACCGGTGCTTGTGCCCCCTCTGTGTGCCCCGGCAGGCCGGGAGACATGGCCCCGCTCACCCCCGGCCGCACACGACCCGCCACTGACGGGTACGTTCAGCCGCCGCCCGTCTGCTCTGCCGACCGACGCCGCGCGCCTCAGACGGCTAGCTGCATGTGCCTGCTCGATTTGCTGTCTTGTCTGTCTGTTTGCCTAGCTGCTTTTCAGATTCAAGCTGTTTGTTTGTCTGTTTTCTTGCCTTTCAGATTCGGTATCTGTTGTGGCTGTCTGTCTCTGTCTGTCCTAGTACGTATTCTGCCAGCCGTTTCCGTTTCTGTTTCTGTTGGATCCTCCCCAGTTTCCGCTCTCTCAACTTTACAACCATCGATAGGCTCAGAGAGCTCACAGAATCCGTCCAGTCTCCACCCAATCCCCTCCCTGTAATTCACCCGATGTCAGGGGGCGTGTCCTCCCCGCCCTGGCTCCTCCCTCAGAGGACCGGACTGATCTCTCCCGGTCCAGCGCCGCCTCTCGGTCTGAAATGGATGGCGGACCACCGTCCGGTTTCTCTGAGCTCTCAGCTCGCTCTGCCGACTGCTGAGCTATGAGAGCCGGCGGAGAAACTTTTCGGGTTAACTGTGACGAAGCACTTTAGTGGAGGTGGAACTTTATAGGTATTAAATCTGGCTGTCCGGGTGGGGTGGGGGGTCCCTCGTGCCACCGACATTTCCTGAGGTCTCCTGTGGTCCATCAATGCGCTCTAATCTAGTTTTATCTCCAATCGATGGTGTTTGCATCCTGTGGGGCGGCGCGGTCGCGCGGGTGGCTCATCCGGGCCCGGATGGTCGCCCTGTCAGTACGTGCCAGACACTCCGGCATCGGGCTTACGTGTCACGTGGTCACCGGCACGGTACCCACCACCGGATCACATGATCTCCCCGTCCGTGACCGAGCTGCAGTCAGCTGTTGTTCGGGGGTCACGTGACGGCCCTGTTGCCGGCTGGAGACGCCCCTGGCCGGCGCCGGGCCGCCCCGTTGCTAAATCGCCCCCGAGCCAGCCGGCAACACCGACCGGCAGACTGGAATCGGCGGCTGGCGGTCGGAGGATCAGGGGAGCGGTGGGTGGGGATCAGGGGATAGTGTGACTGGACTACAGACGCCCCGACAGTCCGCCTTTTATGTGCTAATATGTAGTCTGGCTGGGCTGTCGCTCAGTTTTCCACTACCATGAGCAACTGTATGTGCCCATGGTACTGTGATTGTGTACTGTGCAACTTGCACAATACACACCATGTGTACTGTGATTCATTCAGAGTTTGGTCTGGGAGGTTATGTTAGAGGTAAACTTGATACGCGGTACAATAGTGGAAAGTATGCTGGATTTCTGTGGAAGTCGTGATTGACTGGCGTATACCGATGCACGGGGTGGACGTCCTCTCCCTTTCTGTGATGGCTGGGTGCCATTACCGCGATCCGCCTGGAGAGTCACTCTCTGTATGTGGCCGCCGTGGGACGGACCAGGTGGCCCCGTCACCGTGGGTGAATGCTGTCCTTGTGGAGGAGGGAGGGAGGGAGAGAGAGAGAGAGAGAGAGAGAGAGAGAGAGAGAGAGAGAGAGAGAGAGAGAGAGGGGGAGAGAGGGAGAGAGATAAAGTGAGAGGGAGAGAGAAAGAGAGGGGGAGAGGGAGAGAGATAAAGCGAGAGGGAGAGAGAAAGAGAGAGGGAGAGAGAGAAAGTGAGTGAGTGAGTGAGTGAGTGGGTATGTGAGAGAGAGAGAGAGAGAGAGAGAGAGAGAGAGAGAGAGAGAGAGAGAGAGAGAGGGAGGGAGCGTGGGGCTCGGATTGGGGACAGAGTGGCTCCTTTGGGAGCGCACCGGACGGTTGCAGTGGGTGAATGAGAGGCCACAGGACCGGACCGTATGAGTCATACAGTGAGAAAGTGAGGGATACAGTGACATCATTCAAGTGGTGTAATGCGTGATAGAAAGTGGCTTGCTGTGCTGGTGTTTGTAAAATAATGCATTGCTTGGTAGTTTCGTTTTTCCTTCCCTTTTTTGAGCTCATTAGACGAAGATTTCTTTGATATGCGGGTTCTATTTGCTACAATTATGCATTATGCATGTCAAAAAATCGGTTGTGTATTTCGGCTATTACCTGTCATGTGTAGTTGCTTGTTCAAGCGGATCTCATCTCTAGGTCTCTAGTGTCTCATTTCTCGTCCGTCGTCCATTTCACCGGATTCTGATGTTCATCCTTCCTCCGTTGTTTCTCTGGCTCTGTATATCGAGTATGTAAGCGTGCGGTGTTTTTCTGCCCGCGAGAACCCATCGTATCCTACGTGTTTGGGGGCTCTAAGATGAGCATGGTTTGCTGTCTGCTTACCAAAGCGACCCTCTTTTCCTGTTGTGAAGCATTTGAGTGCTACGAATGTATTCTAAACTTTGATTGGGTTGCATCCCTGGAATATTTCCCGTTTGAAGAGGCTGCCTTTGGGATCGTTTCCATACCAAACCTGGACTATTTCCTTGATTCATCTAGGCTGATCTCGTTCTGCTCGATGCGAGGAAATGGCTGCATGTAAACCACTTGCATGGAACATACATGCATGGCATTGGTGTATGCGAAACATCTGAGTGTGCATGAAAAGGATGCTGCGATTAGATCATGTATGACTCGAAGCTGTCGTGTCCCACCCTATCGTCATGTATCGCCTATCGCGCTAGCCCCCATCCCTATCGACCCACTTGTATCTGACACTCTGAGGCGTCCGTGCAGTTAGCACTGTGTGCCGTGCTAGTGAGACAATCAGTACTTTATCAGCGCTGGGCCAGTGTGCGCCCGTGGGCGAGCTAGACGGCGGTGTGTGCTGTGTGACTGTGTACACTGAAAGGTGATTGCAATCCGGCACTGGTATTCCCCGCTTTAGCTGGGGGGGGGATGAGGCTGAGAAATGCTTAGGGTGTCTCAGGAGTCGCGCTCTGGAGTCCTAGTAGTCATATTGATGTGAGGCTAAGGCAGGAATGGGTCGTGGAATTTCATGTTGTCGATGTTTTTAATGCGCGCTTGCTCGTTTTACATGGAGTAGGCAGGTTACTACGAACCCTTCCTATGCCCTCCCGACCCCTGTGTCCATATACGGCCCCGTTCTGACACTGTATCCGGTTCTGTGTGTGATTGTCGCTCGGCAGGCCGGGGGACACGCCAGCTCCGACGCCCTCCCGACCAGCCGCTGACCGGTACGTGCTGACATCTGTTGGCGATTTCGGGAACTATGGACGTAGTGGGAGAATGGAACTGCCATGATCTCGGGCTGGGCGTTGTGGCATATGTGGCTATGACGGCTTAGATGTTTAAATCTAGCACATGGCGCTTTGCATGACGCAGAGCTTGTAGCATAACGTAGTGTAATCCAGACTGCCATAATTATATCATGTGGGTTTTCGCCCACGACTTTCCAGTCAGCAGGTATAACTTACCATTGATGATATTGTGCTGATGTTGAATGGTGATTGGTGATGTTCCCATTCACTATTCGTTTACGTAGCGTTTTCGTTGTGACTGGTTTCCCGTCTTCCTTCGCTCTACCCCAATGATACCCGATGACGCTCGCTGACGTCTGATGACGCTGGTTGCCGCCGCAGGCCGGTGATGACGACCCCGATGACGGCGTCCAACGGTGAGGCGGAGCCGGTGAAACCGCGCAGCCTGCGCTTCACCTGGAGCATGAAGACCACCTCGTCCCGCGACCCGCAGGAGATTATGGACGAGATCAGGAAGGTCAGTTGCCCCCTCCCGGCCCCTGCTGCCGTCAACGGCAGTGAAAAGTGGCAATATGTTTGTACTACGTTGTACGGTTTCTGCTGTGGGTTTTAAGATAATGCTTCCTACAACCAGCACCAGACACGGTTCAAAGGTGCTCCTATCGTCTTATCAATCTGCTTACAACTGTTAGCTCATCGCGAGGACAGGTATTAGTCGAACTTTGATATGTGTCTTAACTGGTCATAGAAGGGACGTTATCTTGAATCCTTAGCTCAACATGGTCCGCGTACTGATAGCTTGGTGTTGGTTTTGTCCCTAGACTAGCTGTAGATAGAAGCCCCGCCCCTCCCGGTAAACGCTAATAACCGCTTGTCTCTTTCTGTCTTCTATTCTCGTGGTATTTTGTTTCTTTTGCGCTTACCATGCGTTAACCTGCTCGTATTGTTACTTTTTTGTCATATTTCTTGGCTCCGTGTTTTATTTCCCCCGCCTGAACGTTCTAAAGCCCGCGTTTTGCTTCCTTTCTTCTACCTGGCTCCTGTCGCTGTCAAGTCTGTCCATCTGTCGCATCTGTGTTTCTCACGCCGAGTCGCCAGCTTCCCCGCCTCTGCCTCTGCCGTTTGCGTCTGCCCGTCCGCTCTGTCGCCTCTGTGACGTCATCCGTCTGCTCTCTACACTCTGTCTCGTCTCCCTCTCGCTCTCTCTCGCTCTCTCTCCGGTCGACGGTTCTGTCGCTCGGCACCCACAGTCAGTCTCTCTCTCCCCAGCTGCAGCGCGACCGCCCCGCCCTGAGGACTGAGCGCGCCCCCCGGCCGCCAGGCAAGTGACTCGCGTGCGGGCATGACTGCCGGGTGCTCCGTCCCTCTGTTCCCGCTCCTCCGCTCCCTCTGCCCGGGCGTGGGTTCGCCGCATGTTCGGTGGTGCTGGGGTGCCTGCCTGGAGGGCCGGTGTGTGTGTGTGGGTGGTGAGGTCACAGCCTCTGACACCGTCCGCTGTTCTCAGGTGCTGGACGCAAACAACTGTGACTACGACCAGCGCGAGAAGTTCCTGCTGCTCTGCGTGCACGGCGACCCGCGCACCGACTCGCTGGTCCAGTGGGAGATCGAGGTCTGCAAGCTGCCGCGCCTCTCGCTCAACGGCGTCCGCTTCAAACGCATCTCGGGCACCTCGATCGGCTTCAAGAACATTGCCAGCAAGGTGGCCAACGAGCTGAAACTGTGACCCGAGGCCGGCCCGGCGCCGGAGTCGGAGCCGGAGTCCGACCCGCAGGCGCAGTTCGAGGCGGCCGCCGAGCTGCCGGCAGCGGCCGGCGGCGCGCGGTGCCGGTGCCGGCCGGAGCCGCCGCCGCCGCGCCGCCGTCATCCCGCCTGCTGAGCTCCGCGGCGAGATAGCGAGAGAGAAAGCGAGAGCGATGGAGTGCGTGTGTGTGAGGGAAAGAGAGAGTGAAAGAGGCGTGCGTCGCCGTTGTTTTCCTTTTATATCATTGTTACGTCTATGCGCGCGCGCTCGGGCGGCGGAGTGGCCTGCGCCTGTGGTCCGCGGCAGCCCGACCGGCCCGGCGCCCACCGCAGACAATCGACACGCGACAGCTGTGATCGCCCCCCACACGTGGACCCCAGAGTGCGCGGGAGGAACGGGAGGGAGGGCCCCGAGTGACTGGCACAGAGGTGGTACGAGTATGCTCCGTAGGTGGCCTATCCACCAGTTGGGCCGCGTATTCGGCGGCCGCGCGCTAATTCTAACATTTTGTGGATGTATTTATTAGTATTGGGCGCCGCGAACCGACCGGCCCTGCGTCGCCGGTCGGCCGGCCGGCGCCGTCTGTTGAGATACGTTTATCATATTCATCGCGGTCGCCGCTGGGCGCGAGGCTCCGGCGGCGGCCGCCCCCGCCCCCGCCCCCGCCGCGGGCGGGCGGGCGGGCGGACGCTCGGTCGTCTGTTTTTATGGAGTGGACAGTGGAGAGTGCCGTTTGCACAAGGCCGGGCGGCGCGCGTATCTGTACATAGGAGCGATGTGGTGCTGACTGGGCCGCCGGCCGCTGGGTCGGCGCCTGTGTGATATGTGTGCGCCGCGCCGGCGGTCAGAAAGGCCGACCGACACAGAGAGAAAGAACGAGAAAGAGCGCGACCGATTCCAAACTAAACCCGACTATAGTGTTGCGCGATTGGTCAACGAGTAGTACGGTCGCGTGACACGCTCGGGTTTCGTTACATCTCTCTGTACAGAATGCTAATAGCTCTAAAAATACATGTGATAAAAGGACGCGGCGGCGTTTCGGTGTGAAGTTTCTGATTGCGGCATCATTTATTGACGTGCGGACTCGATTTTTGTCTTTTGACTGGTCTGGCCAACAGAGCTGTTAAATTCGGCACAAGCAATCCGCTTCACGGCACATTTGACGATAGTGGTGCGGTGTTGTGAGTTAACAACTTGGCTCGTTTCAAGCATTTGGCGTGATGCACAAACTTGTTTGCGCGATCCGGTTCGCGTCAGCGAACTTTTGTTGCTATGGGTCTATGGCGCGGCTGTTATCCTTTGCTTGTAAAGCAAAGAATAACAGCCGTTGAGCTACTTTTAAACGCACTTGGGGTCGGGGAAATCGTAACAGTTCAGGCGTACGGCGAACTGCCAGCTGATGAGGGAAATGGTAAGTGCGATAGACCTCGCTCATGCCTTCGGACTTCGGGGTGACTGAAGTGCCCCAGAGGTGCATGAACCTTTGATGCTCTAAGCGGGCGTGAAAAGTGCGTCACCGACCCCTCATCGTGTTCGTCGCGGATGTCAAGAGGCCAATAGGGAGAACTGTGCGCGCAATCTTTGCCAGTACATCGCATAGCAACATATCTGCATGACTTATCTCTAATCAGAGGTCGCTTTAAAATCGACCTATCACATCGGCACTACCTTTGATCTTCATTGATATGAGGTCGGGTTCAGACAACTTTCAACTGGTCGATTTCAAAGGCCAAAGAACATCTTGCAGCGTTGCTACTTGGTACCTACGCTAATGCATCTGAATGTGATGAATGCGACCCTTCTGATATAAGTTTGTAAGCTTAACCGATCTTTCATGTTGCATAGAAACCGAACATATCGTGTTTTGACTCTTTTTTGTAGTGTAACTTTCATGCTGTAGGGAAAGACTATCGGTCATCTTAATATCGGGACGCGCATCGGACAGTGATCTTGAGATTCACGGGTGAGATGCGGGCATCACTGCATGTTGAGCCTCGTTTGTGGTATTTGTGGCACAAATTTGTAGCACTCATTGGATGATTGCTTTAGCGTAAATTAGTTGAAAAGTCGAAATTCCGAAATCAGGGACAAGCGTAAGCATGGCGATGAGTTGATAGCGCCTAACCCCACTCGATCACGGCCTCACTTCTGCTCATCGTCAGTTTTGCATCTTTAACTGGCGTTCTATTGACCTATTCTGCAGTTTCAGGTGCCATGGTCGTCACGTCGGTTCCTGCACACTCTTATTAAAGATAAGCATTGCTTCCTTCGCAGACTAACCCAACAGGCATAGGTTAAAAATTTTGGCATGCTTTATTGACAATTCAGAAATTCCATGACAAGCGGATCACATAAAATGAAAGCCCAACAGACACTAATAACGGGTAGATCGGAGCTGGCAGAGCAATAACACACAAACAAATTCATAAAGCGAGAATACGAGTAATGGTGAAAAACGACTGGTTGTGAGTGATAATAATCGGAAAAAAAAAAGATTGAAGAAATAGCGAATTGCATGCAACTTTGAAAAGTTTTGCTGTTATTTCGCGAAATCACGCCGAAGTAACTAAACGAAATTCGGGCAATATTATGAAAATAAAAGTGAATGAAATAGGATGAAACAGCAATTAAAACAGGCCCAGTGACGGCAAAAACTAAGTGCCGCAGTGCCACGCTCACTGCTGCAGCTCTAAAAAAAGCCAGACTAGAGTATCATCACTAAGAGTCGCGTGACGCGTAAGGCACCACCTCACCAAGTGCCCTATAAATTAGGTATATTATCGCTAACCACGTATCACCCTCCTTTAGAGCCTTACACTCCCCGTTTAAAGTACACTTGGGTTCATTTTCCGTTGGACGCAGTCCCCGTCCATCCCATCATCTGCGTCGTCATCGTCCCTCGCCAGTATGACAACCAATATGGACAGTGTCACTATCCCTCACAACGGAATGACGTCGTCACCACACAAACCTGTGTACTGTGACTAGCGTCTTGCCCCTATTCTTCCCTGGCTATGCTCTCATCACTCCTGACTGTCCGAGTCAAAGCTGATGCCGGAGGCGGTGGGTCGTTTGCGGGCGGAGGGGTTGACGATACTGCGTCCCGGCGGTCGCTTCACCGGCCGGCGGCTGGTTCGGACTGAAGGTACCAGCGGGGGTCCGGTCGGCAGAGCTGCCACCGCCGCCGCCGCAGCCGCCTCCGCGCGCTCCGCCTGACGGCAGATGGCGCCATCGCGTCAGAGGGGAGAGGGTTTAGGGAACAAGGACGATAATCCTCTGAGACAGCCGGAGTTCTGAAGCTATGACTGAGTAGATTACACGTGTCCCTAATAGAAATGCTTAATGCTGAAGGAAAGTAGAGCAGCTTTGTAATGTTTTACGGAAAAGAGCCTGCCGTGGCGGTGGCGGCAACTTTCTCGCAGGCGAATGGTAAACTCCAGCCTGTGCGCAGTTCCCCCGGCTGCCCCAGCCAGCCTCCGACCCTCTGAGAGGGTATCCCTCTCGGCCCTCGCTTCCCCTTCCAGTATCGTCTCACCTTCAGTGTAGCTCGCGCCAGGGCGGCCACCAGCGCGGTGGTCACTGCCAGCCGACGGTCGGCGGTCGGAGCGACATCCAGGGTCACCTCATGGCCGTCCGGGTCATGCAGCACCACCGACAGCGGCGCTGGGGTGATCCGGCTGACCTGGAGGTCAGCTGGGACAGCCGAGCTGGGCAGGAGGCGCTCTGCCAGCTGGCCGCTGTTTACGTGGAAACATCCCAGGGTGCTGTTGGAGACAGGACACAGGCATCAGTCATAAAAATGGAAATATGCCTGGGTGTTTAGAAAGAGATGAAAGATATCTTAAGCTACAATGATCACTAGTTAATGTTGGATTGGAAATGTTTGGCTTGTTTTATACAAACATTTATTTAAACTTAACAGTACTGAGGCCCTGAGGGTCACCAGTAACACCTTCAGCTTTGTTATTATTACGAGCAAGCGAGCGCAGCGAGCGAAGTGAGTCTTTTCAATATAACGGAAAAATCTCAGTATGAGCGGCCCGGCCCGGCCTGTAACGCTTTTGAGAGGCTTATATCTCAGCAACCGCTGGACCGATTGGCCTGCGGTCTTTTTTGTTGGGTAGCCCCATCCCTTCTACCCCGTAATTGACTACTTCTGATTCATCTCAGTGACCGTCGTGGCACGTGCCACGTGAAAAGTCAAGGGTGTTCATGTTCAAGCTGTTTTGCAAAAGTAGTGATTTTGAGAGGCTCATATCTCAGCAGCCGCTTGGGCGATTGACTTGCGGTAATTTTTTGTAGGGTAGCAGCATCCCTTCTACCCAAAATAGGATACTCTCGATGTATGTGGGTCACCCCCAGTGCACGTGCAAAATACAACAATAAGAGGTGCCAAATTTGTTCCCATTTCAGTAACTCGGTAATTACTGGGGCGATTTCGCTGAAACTTGGCATACAGGTAGGCACCCACCAGGCAATGCATTCCAATGTGTTGCGGTTAGGGTACTACTGCACGTGCGCACGTGCAGGGGGCGTTTCCAGGTCTCGAGAACGGCTGGGCCGATTGCCCTCAAATTTGGTACACGGTTGGTGACCAGTTAGTAGGGTGCCGTGCAAAAGTCATTTTGGACCCCGTTTGCACGTGCGCACGTGCAGAATGCCGCTTCCAGATCTCAGGAACGGCTGGGCCGATTGCGTTCAAATTCGGCACACCGCTAGCGACCGGTTAGAAGGGTGCTTTGCACTTGTCCAACGGGCTTGTAAGCCCGTTGGAAGCACCCTCTCGCCCTTCCGCACGTGCAGGGCTCACTTTCTCGCTCGCTCGTTCTTCGCCCAAAAGGCGTTTTACTGGTTTATTATGGAAAGTAAGTGACAATGAATGCAACTCACCCATCAGAGGAGCCAGAAGCCTGAACTTTGTACACCACCACTTCAGAGTGGACTTTCAGCTTCATGTGTTTTGCAGGGATCTCCATGGATTGGAAATTCCTCAGTCCTCACTTTCTGTCAGCCCACAGCCACTCTTCCTGTATTGTAGAAACATGCTGTTTTCAAGCTGTCAAGCATAACATTTCCTTTTCCAGCACAGATGGTACAGTTCATATGTACCCAAGGCCCTATAAGTATGTACCTACCACATTAGCGTCGCCACGGGGGGGCAAGCGGGGCAGCTTGCCCCCCCAACCTCGGACCGGGCACCCCCTGAGATCGATACAGATCCGATGAGATTTTGGAGTCGGGGGAAAAATGGGGGTACCTTTCTGAGAATGCCTGTGAGGTCAGACTCTGTTGGAGCGTGCAGTTCAAACCAAAGTCAGAGTCGCAGTCACCAAAATCTTCAAGACTCCGACTCCAGACTCGGAAATGTCAATGCCATGATTCATGTCATGTTCCTAGTTGGTTCTGTATTACATTTTGTAGCTGATTTTCATAAATTTTGGAGTGCTGACACATAATTTTCGTTCAAAGCGTGACACGAAATCTTCGGGGCCTTTCTCAACTCTCGTCAAATGTCTGCGACAGGCACAAGTACCGTTCAAGTGCCGCAGGACTCATGAGCCTGCTTTTCACACAGGCTCCTAAGGAGCTCCACTGAGCTCTAAGAAGCTTTCGGAGGGCCCAAACCGGCCTCTGAGAGTCCACTGGTGTCCATGTTCTCTAGAGGGCCCATACAGGGATCTTTGAGGACATTATACATACGTAGACCTCTGAAGGGCCACACGAATCTTTGAGGATGTCTTCGAAAATTTCTGAAAACCTCAACTGGCCTATGATAGTTCAGCCGAACTTTTGAGGCGACAGACTTTACTAAACCCCAACCCGGCATCTGAGGGGTCACAACTCACGTGTCCCTCTGAGGGCCGCAACACATGTTTCTTATGTCCCTACCAACGTAACGTAGGGTCCTTAAGGATTCGACACAGACCCCGGCGGTTCACATTGTTATTCGAGGGCTCCAGGCTCACCCTGGGCCTAGTCTCTTAGCGCCCGCCGCCCACACTGGCTTCTGAAAGCTCGTGTGCCCTAAAGGGCTTTCCGGGCCCACCTTAGGCTCGGAAAGCCCTAAAGCACCACATACACGTAAATATTTGGGGTGACCCACGCCGATCTCCGGGATCCTAAGCAGGCTTCTGAGAGTCCACACTGACCCTCAGTGGCCTGAAATGGCCTGGAAGTCGCAATCCTATCTCTAAGGGATCCCTTGCCGCTATGCCGTGCGTAACTTTTGGTTCCGTTAAATATTTTTGGTCGCGTTTGCAGCGCTTCCCTTCACTCGAAAAACCAGAAACTTTTTGTTCACACTCGAGTGAACAAAACACTTCTTCTCACTGCAGCAAGGATGAATGATGTACTTCCGATTCACACTTCCGACATTCTCTCTCAGTCTCCGCCGAATGCCCAATTCTTAGCTACAATCGGCGGCTGGGATAAGCCCTATGCATTTCACGTAAAACCTGGGCATGCATGCGTGAATGGAGGTTTTAGCGAGGTGATCCGATTCAAATGGAGCGTTTTTCACCTTCTTCTGGGTAATGATCATGAGCGACAAGAGTCTGCACAGGGGCCCTCTGCAGTGCGTCGGCAATCGCAGCCACTGTAATTCTAACAGTCGTTTTTGTCCAGAAATTTCAAAATTTTGATTTTTTTTTTGTAAAAAAATACATGCTATAGCTAGAAGGAAAACTTTGTCACCATCGAATTCCTCGCACCATTGCGCGTCGAATGATATGTAAAACGAGTGAGTAACGGCTGGGGAAAGGCAAGATTTAACACAAAACTTGATTTTGCCCCCCCAACCGAAAATGTCTGGCGACGCCTATGACCTACCATCTTGGTACCTACCTACTCCCCAGTCTCTTTTCACAAGAAAGAAGGCACAGTAAGTAATTTGATTTTTGATTTTTTAATGAGTTTTTCCTTTGAAATTGCAATAAAAAGTAAATACTATATTTACTTTTATCTACTTTTTAATGCAATGCTTAGTGCTTACAGCCATCAAGGAAATGGTCATTCAAAACTCAAGATAATCCTTGCAAGAGCCAAGAGCACTGCATATTATTTTGTCAGTACAGTAGGTACGTACCTCATAGGTACGTGCATATTGATTTGCTTAGGTATCTGCAAGCTCAAATCAGACCAACCATGCCACGTGCCTCATGCCAGTATTGGTATCGAGATTCGAGACAATCTGTATCTCATGATACAGATTGTAGCATATCTATCTGATCAAAAGAGTATCAGTATATAACGAATATAAACAATGACCACATAACAATAAGGACCAGGGCTATTCGCTGATACCTTGACCTGCAAGTTGCAACCAACCTGCAACGATGTCTTCTGATGCTTTATTGAAAATATAATTAATTTAAACACCACAATCAAAGCCACCTATGTTTTAGGGCCTTGAGGCCACCTAAAGACTTAAAAATACCTATCCTAAATGTGTACCGCACCGACCGCACCGACCTCAACCTGCGACTTCTGCCAAAACAATTTAAGACCGGTGTTCAAAATCCGATCTAGCAGTGCGCACTTATGTAAAAGATGACGTCTAACCAAAAGTTCTAGCGCACGATTGCGTGTTGGGATCTCGTGAGCATCTATCGGCAGTATTGACTAAACTTTTGAACACTTGCCTCAAAAGTCGGAAATGAACAGGCTGCGCCGTTTGTGCCTTTTCTGAGTGGCTACCATATTGAAAGGAAATTGTGGCCACATTTAGGCTTTTGTGAATTCTTGCATTCACGGTCTGCATCGCCTCACATTTTAGCCGGTGACTATCGCTAAACGGATCGAAGAAAATGGAAACCACATTATATTACAGCCCACAGCATATCAGCATCACTCATCAAAGGACACACATTGTGAATGAGATGATGAGTTCATGGGCACATGGGTGTAGGAGCGCCAAAAATATTGGTGAAGGATGTCACCTGAACCCTCGGAGAAGTCACCTGAACCTTCAGAGAAGGTGCAGGACCTTACCGCAGTGGAGGGGGGAATTTCGTCAACTCCTCCTGTTTTTTTTCTTCTCGCAAATGTCTCACGCCATTATCATGTAATTAACGCCAACTTTTCAGTACATGCCTAAAATTGAATTTTTAGGTATCCAAGCATACCTTTGGATACCTACCAAAGGTATCCACTATCCAAGCATACCTTTGGAACCTAAAGGTATGCTCCACTGCTCTTTTTTCGTGACCAAAGTCTTACAACTTTCCCACGAGTAAAAACAAGCCAATATATTTTGATATTCACGGCATTTACTGAGATTAAAGGAAATTTCTGAGTATGAGCGGCCGGCCGGCCGGCCGCGGTCACGGTTCTGCGACACTTATATCTCAGCAACCACTTGACCGATTTACACGCGATAATTTTTGTACGGTAGCTTCATTCCTTCTACCAAGTATTGGACTATTCCCGATGCATGTGGGTGACCCCTTATGCACGTGCCACGTGCAAAACGAAGAGGTGTCACTTTTGTAATTGTTGCAATATCTCGGTAACTACTTGGCCGATTGCGCTGAAAGTTGGCATGTAGGTAGGCACCCACTAGGCAATGCATATCCATGTGCCAGAGTTGGGGTGCTGCTGCACGTGCGCACGGGCTGGGGTCGATTCCAGATCTCGACAATGGCTGGACCGATGGCGCTCAAATTTGGTAAACAGTTAGGGACCGGTTAGTAGGGTGCCGTGCAAAAGTCAGTTGGGACCCATTTTGCACGTGCGCACGTGCAGGGTGCCGCTTCCAGATCTCGAGAGCGACTGGGCCGATTGTGCTCAAATTTGGCACATCGCTAGAGACCGGTTAGTAGGGTGCCGTGCACAAGTCAGCTGGAGGTACCCCGTCGAAATTTCGCACGTGCAAAGCTCACCCTCTCGCTCGCTCCGTTAATCGCCCCAAAAGGCGTTATACTGGTTTATTAACCCGGCAGTTGCTGGGGCATTTCGCCACCCACCGTTTGCTGGGGGGGGGGCGTTAAACGCCCCCAGCCGATAACTCGAGAACCAATAGGCGCAGCGAAACGCACGAGGCGGCAAACGAAAGAACGCGACGAGACGCTTCAGATGAGTACTTTTAGGTTGAATTTTGAGGTCACAGGTCGGGTCAAGGTCAGGTCAAACACCTGAAATCGGACTTTCAGTAGCATGGACTTCAGGACTTCGCAAATCGCAATGGGCGCCTCTCGTCATAAACTCTGTCAAAACGGTGCACAATCCATCATATAAGGCCTACAAGAGTGTCAGCTCCATGTAGAGGTCAGCCAAGCATAGGTCAGGGTCAAGGTCAGGTCAACCGGCCAGGCACATATCCCCGAAAATCAAAACTGATATTCGCAGCCTGTGACACATGTTTTATGGGTACTTTGGGGCGTAGAACACGATGGTGACATTCATTTTATCATATGTGTACGTGTTTGGCTAAAAAAGTTCAATTTAAGAAATGCATGTATCATGGTCGTGACTCGTGAAGTAGTCGCGAGAAATTGCAAAGATTTAGTTCAAGATTTTGGAAAATGCGGAACGATAATCAATAATCGAAGATAGCCATTTGATTGGTCATGGTATTGGCAGTTCAATGACGTTTACGGCATGTCTGACGTCTATTCTGTGATTTTATGATTTTTTGAACATATGCCGTTTTTGGTCAAAGCTCAGAAATCATGACGTCACTAAAACCTCGATATCTCAAAAATTTTCTGAACGATTTTTTTGAAACTTTGTCACAATAAACTTCAATTAATTCCCTACAGGTACCCAAAATTTGGCGCGCCTGCGGCGCGCCGTTTTTATGCTATGGCCCGGCGAAAAAGTGGGGGCGTTTAACGCCCCCCCCCCAGCAACTCGCGGGTTAAATGGCGTGAATTGTGAAGAAGGTGGGCATAACACTTCATAACTGAAAGGATGGGGTAACTGGGTACCTGTTGCCGTTTTAGCAATAGCCTTTTTGTTCATCCCATTCGGCATTGCTTTTCTTTTTTTAACATTAGATCGACCGTCGAACCCAGTCGTTCTAGCATTGGTGAAGACCCTCACCTGCATTGCTCAAGATTGGTGAAGGATCCTTCACCAATCTAAAACTTTGGTGAAAGGTATCCTTCACCAAAGAGATACGTTGCTACACCTATGCATGGGCATAAGGCAGGTGATCACATATACCTAACTGACGCGTCGGTTTCTCGGCAGTGCCGACATACCCTGGTGCCGACTGCCGACTGCCGAGCTCAAGGGCCGAGCCCGGGTTCGAGCGCCGAGGGGTTCGAGTCTCTTCGGAGCTGAGTATATACCTCGGAGTGTACATAAACACCTCAACTAATATGCTAAAACATGTGAGGTCTGGCGTTATACGGTTGTCATGGCGCGCGGTCTGATGGCGCCGGCGGGCAGCAGCTGGAGCCACTCTTGAAGTCAATCGAGAGGGAGGGGCGGAACATAACACGCTAATTTTTAGCAACAAAATTCTTCTGATAGCAGTAGCTTGGCCGTTGGCGTCCGAGGGTTTGAGTCCGGCGGACTTGCCCGTCCCGATCGCACGGTAGGGGCCAAGCCAATATACCTACTCCGTGAATTGCTACTTACCTTACATTAGTTCACTGACCACCCAGAGGCCAGACCACAAACCTGTGGCTGTCTTCACATCCAGGGGCATGCCCTCCGGTCTCCGGACGACTGTGATTTTAGCAGCTGGGTTGTCAGCCTGAACGGTTCTCCTCCCAGCAACAAACGGGGTGTGCTCAGCCGCTGCGGCGCACCGGCGATGGCCAACTCAGCCTGAAGTCTTCCCCTTGTAGGTACCCTATCCTGAGTCATTCCACCTTCATAACTCATTCACTGCTATTGCTAAAGCAATAAGATTCGCCATGGTCGCACCGAAGGATTAAATCTACCGAACGCATTTACCGACCACAGAGTGACCGATCAGACCGATGCATCACTTGACCCCATCACAGCCGTGACCCCGCTCTCTGTAAACATCTCGGCGGCGCCCACGGTGCGCAGGCTCGGGTCCCGGTCGGACATCCGGAGGCCGGCGGTACGGGCCGGAAGGGACGACTCACCGCCCGGCGGCGGCGGAAGACGTTTGGCGGCACGTCACCGCGGCGTACGGCGGCTTGGGGCACCTCTACGGCGGTGAGATCACCCCTGCCCCGCCGGCGGCAGTGCAGGCCGCGGCGCAGCGGACAGTCACCGCCCACCCGGTGCTGCCATCTGGCGGGAGATTGGTAAACTACCCAGCTGGCAGCGGAAGTTGAGATCGGAGCCAGCTGGAAGAGTTGGTGGTTCCTATTCAGTTCGGAGGGATCCAGATCGAAAGCATGTGATCGAACGCCCTTGGAAGCTTAGCGGAACTACGCTGAACACAATCATTCGCTGCGCTCTTGTTGCCGAGACCCAAGCCTGGCCTCTTTAGAGAGATAAGTCGCTCGCACAGGTAAGCCGTTAGTGAAGTCCTGGGTACAATACGTTCGGCCCATCCCTTCGATCAATTTCTGATCTATCCTCAGGAAGCACAAATTTTTCTCCTCGTCCTCAAGCCCCCTGTTCCTGGCTGGACGGTCACCAATACCATCATATGACCCACCCGATAGCTCTCCCAGTAGCATGCCTTTGCTCACGTGCCGTCGTGTAACGTGTAGTGAGATTGGGTGGCCTGTCTATCAAAACGGATTCAGCCCCTGCGGCGCACCAGGGGACGGCGTCCAGAACAATGTCTGCTTCTAATTCTTAGCATTTTTCTGGGTCCTTCCGGCTCTAACCATACCTATCTCATCAGACTCTACGCTACAAAATAAACAAAGAAGCAAGCAAAAAATAAGGAATGAATGAACAAATGAATAAATAAATAAATAAATAAATAAATAAATAAATAAATAAATAAATAAATAAATAAATAAATAAATAAATAAATAAATAAATAAATACATACATAAATAAATAAACGAACGAACGTACGAATCAGCGAACGAACAAACGAACGAACCAGTGAACGAACGAACGAACGAACGAACGAACGAACGAACGAACGAACGAACAAATGACTGAACGAACGAACGGGCGAACAAACGAACGAATGAAGCTTCCCCGGTGACCTGCTCAGATTTTAGTGACTATCAGTACCTATAAAGTATAAATAGTTTCCTTTTAGCCATTATTAGGAGCCAAGACAAGGACTTAGTGTTGCACTTTCTAAAACATTGGATTTCATTTACAAAAATATCTGCCCGTCAATATGATAGGCATCCCTGTCGGAGTAGAACTTATAAGACATTCAATAACTAACCCTCGAATTACGATCCGCGATTTGGCCTCTGCGATGACCGTCAATATCCACCTGTAGCCGATGGATGTGGATAATGAGCATGTATCGGTGTATCGTGCGCCCCACACGGAGGCCACTGATTGATTCACGAGTCGAATAACCAATGAGCCAAGAGGCTGATAATTGCTTTTCAGTTGCAATGGACCGTTTAAATGTCCCGA